CGAGCTCTGTTTCCAGGACTCCCCTCAGGAAACTGGTGGCGCTTCCAGATGCAAATCCCCGAGGCACCACCGCTCCTTTCCCCCCGCGAACCCCCCTCCCTCCGTCCCTTCCTCCTTTTATAACCACGGCTCCACCCAGGATTCAAAGGGAGGCTCCCAGGTGCTTCCCGAGACCCAAATCATGCCAGGTGTTTCGGGAAATAAACAGAAATAAGCTCGTCCCTTTTGGGGTAACAAATTATCTCTTCCCACATTCCCCCTTCTGTCTCCTGTTCCCTAAGGCAAAGCACCCGGATCAGGTGGGGGCCAGGGGGGCAATGTGAGGTCCAAACCCAAACCAAACTTGGTTTTCCATCGGTTTCCCTCGGGACTGTTCCGTTTCCCCGCTGTTCCTCGGCCACAGGAGCACTTTCTCTCTGGGACCGTGGCGCGGGCACAGGGACGCCCATCCCGCTGCCTCCCGGGATCGGAGCCGGTCCCACAGAGCCGCAGCCGGGAGCGCGGCGCGGGTTTCGCTCCACGGAGCGCGGTCCCAGGGAGCCGCAAGTGCCGGCACAAACTCGTCCCGCCCAGGGGCCCGGGGTCCCCGCGGCAGCGCCGAGAGCGCGCACGGCCCCCGTGGGTGCCACCGCCCGCGCGGCCCCTGCGCGCCTCCGCCCCCTCCGCTCGCTCGCTCCCGGCCAGGGCTGCCGCCCGAACCGGGGCATTGTCCCCGATCCCGGCACCGGGACGGGGCAGAGAGAGCGGCCCCGCCTTCTGCGGGGCGGAACCGCGGCCCTGCCACCTTCTCCCGGGACAGCAGCCGCCCTTGGGCATTCCTGCTGCTCCCAGGGGGTAAAAACCGCCTGGGAATGTGCTTCTGGTCACAGTCATCAGCTGTGTGACGGGAGTCCCCGAAATAGAACTGAGTATCTGTGACAAATAAATGGGGGTGCTAAAGATGGAGTGATAGCAGAGGGAACCTTGTTCCTGCCAGTGACCCGTGGGAAGAAAGCAATTCCCAACCGTCTTATGCTTGGGAAACGGGGAAAGGGAATTCTGTGTCCTCTCCTGCTTAGGATACACATCTTCACTGTCCTATAAAGGGACCATCTGAGGCTTTAGAGAGATGGCTGTGGGTCAAGGATCTGCTGCCTTGGCAGGGCAGAAGGTTGAGTTGCTGTTCGTGACGGTGACAATGACCTGAATAATTAGAGATCAATGGGAAGTTGTTCCGTGCAGCAGAAATGAGAGAGAATATCAGCCTGACTGGTGTCACATGTAGAGCTGGCACAATGACCCTGAACACCCTAAAAAGAAATCCTGAGCCACGCTGTGATCAGACCCCATAGGGGCGATTTATTGGAAGCGCCAGTAAGGAACAACGGGAATTCCCTGGCCCTCAGCTTGGTCCCGCCTGCCCACACCACCTCCCTCGGGAAGTGCTGCTCTTCCCGCCTGGAAAGCCAACAAACACTTTTTCCTCCGTCCCTTAAAACTCTTCTCCGAAAACCTCTGTCCTCCCACGCGTCTCCTTCTCCCCGCGTCCCTCGGGTCCCTCCCCGGGCCTGTGGCTCCGCTGCTCCCCGGCGCTCGGGCAATTAATATAATTGATGTGAGCCTCGCCGGGCCGGCCCGGGCCGCCGGGGGCTCAGGCCAGCGCCGGCCGTGCCAGCACCATCAGCCGCTGCAGCTGCTCGTAGGACACGAACATCACCACGTTCCAGGAGCCCAGCCGCAGGAAGGACGGGACGAAGCTGTGCGGGCAAAAGCGGGGCTGAGGGGACGTTCCGGGGACATCCCCAGAGCGGGGATCCCTCCCCCGAGCCCTGCACCTGGATTGGGGCCTTTGGGGTTCTGTGCCCGTGCGGTGACCGCAGGCAGGAGCTCGACTCACCCCTTGTAGAGGCCGGCGGGGCCGTCCTGCATGAGCAGGGCCAGCAGGCAGCTCAGGGCGTTGCGGTACTGCCCGGGGCTGGCGTTCATGTACCGCGTCTTCACCACGTCCACCGGCGACGCCACCACCGTGGCGCAGAAGCCGGCGCCGAAGGCGGCCACGAAGTGGCACGGGACGTTGTCTGAGGGAGGGGCAGAGCCGGGCGTTGGGCGCTGCAGGGACAGAGGGACAGGGGTGGCGCCCGGCCGTGTCCCCCGCGCCGTGCTCACCTGTCATGAGCTGCGCCCGCAGCAGCGCGTCCTTGAGCAGGTCGTAGGTGACGAGCTCGCCGCAGTTGATGATGGCATTGCGGGCGATGTTGGGCAGCGTCCCTGCGCGGGAGGGAGGGAGGGAGGGTGGTGGCGTTGGGACTGCTGCTCACAGCCCCGACTGGAGCATCCTGGGCAGGTGCCCCAGCCCTGCTGCCCCCGTCCTTCTGCCCTTCCTCGTCGCCATTTCCATTCCACTGCCCCCGCATCCCGTTCCCAGGCCCACCTCTCCAGAGGCCGCGGACGCCCTCCTCCCTGGCGATGGTGCGGTAGGCATCCACGGTGCCGCTGTAGCGCCGGGCGCTGTCCCACTGCGCCCCGCTGGCCTGGAACCGCACCTTGACCACATCGGTGGGCTGGGCGCAGGCCACGGCCACGGCGCCCGTGGTGCAGCCAGCCAGGAGCCGCGTGGCCATGCCTGTGTCTGCAGAGGACAGGTATTGGGACACCCGGCCCTGCGGGACCCCCAGCCCTCAGGGACCCCAGGGTGAGTGGCCTGTGGTGCCGCACAGAGGGGCATCTCGGGGGGCTGTGCCCCCAGGGTGAGCTCCTCTCTGGGAAAGGGCAGTGCCTCGGGAAGGGGGGCACGGGGAATTCCTGCACACTCACTCTCAGCGCCCTTGGGGGTGTAGAGCTGCTTCACGGAGTCGTAGAGGCCGATGCGGATGGAGGCGAAGCTCATCTGGCGCTGCAGCCCAGCTGCCAGCCCGCTGTACAGGCTGCGCGCTCCCTCCGTCCTCACCATGGTGCTCAGCGTGCCCAGAACGCCCCGGTACTCCACCGAGCTGACCGTGCGGGGGATCCTCACCTCGCCCTGGATCTGCGGGGTGCCCACCGTGTCACCCCACCTTCTGCTCCCCCCCAGGTGCGCCCAGCTCCGGGGCAGTCCCAGGATGCTCCCTGTCGCTCCCTCTGCCCGGGGTTTGGGATCGTACCTGCAGGCGCACCTTGGCGGTGTCCAGGGGGAAGGTGCACAGGTCGGCGATGCAGCCCGCCATCCCCGCGCTCACGAACTTCACGGCGGCCGGCGGGGGCACCTCGGGGGGCTTCAGACCCACCATGGTGGCGCAGGGGCTGGAAGGAGAGGAGGGTTTGTGGGGCAGCCAGCGGCGTGCGTCAGGACAGGGCTTCACGTGGCTGTCCTATTCGGCGACCGAGGGAATGATGATGTGCCGTGGTGGCTCTTGGTGCCTTTGGTCAGTCCCAAAATCCATATCCTGCCCTGTCTGCTCCCGTCTACCGCAGGGAAACTGAGGCACGGGGCTTGCTCAGCATGGGATCACCAATGCCCACCCTTCCCTGACCCACCCCAGGTACAAGAGGGGACGCTGGGTAAGATCATCTCGCCCGAGTGACCTGCCCGAGCCACGTCCCTCCGTGCCCTCACCGTAGGGACCTCGGTGTTCCAGCTCCTGCCTTGCACAGGCAGTGCCTGGGAGCCGGCCCCCTGGCCCCACCCTTATATAGCACCCAGGACATTGCAGCAGCCAGGATCGGGTGACAGGAAAACAGTGCTCCCCCGGTGGCATTTCACTTGATGGGACTGGGTCACCTGGCACCCAACTGAGGTGGCTGCTTCAGCCCCCTGCCCCCTCCCGGGGCTCAGGCATGGGGAGGGGGGTCCTGCCCAGACCCCCTGCACTGGCCTGGGGAGGAATGTGGGTTTTTACCCTAAAACCACTCTGGGAAGGACGAGATGCAGAAACCCTCACCCCAAGGCTCACCAAGTGGTTTGAGGGCAGTGCAGCACTGGGCTCTTGTGCAGGGCAGGCTGGATCCCTTTGCCTGACACAGACCACGAGCCTCAATCCACCCCAGAGAGCTGCTGAGCTCCCAGCAGGATTGTCCCTGCATGGTGGAACGTGTTCCCAAGCTCCCGTGGAGCTGGGTGAGCACCCTGGAGTGACACCCACCCCCAAACCCATGGCACCCTCAGAGCGTGGCTGAGCGCTGGGTCTGAGGCTGCCAGGAGGGGCTGGGCTCAGAGGCTGGAGTGAAGAAAGACCCCTTTGCCTCCTTTAAAAACCCTGAGTTTAACCCTTGGTGCTCGTTAGCCCCACAGGCAGAAGGGTCCCTCAGGATGTGCCCTGAGCCTCCACACCCACACCTGAGCTCGCTGGGCACGAGGCCCTGACACCTGGAGCCACCTTTGCCCCATCCCTCGGCTCCAGAGCAAAGCTGCCTGGCACCAACAGCCCTCTCCAGCTGGCTCCTGCCTTGTTTTCCTGCCCGGCTCCACGGCTGACCCAACCTGAAAGGAAGACGTGTTTACCTCATGCCCGAGATACAGCTCGGGGTCAGTGCTGTGACCTCCTCTGTGGCAGCCAGCCCAGCCCAGCTGGCATCCTGCCCCAGTCTTTTTTGGGCATGCCACCATGAGAAAGCAGCCTGACGTCACTCCTGTCCTTCCAGGGGACACTGGGTGCCTCTGCCTTCCATCCCCACACAGCAAGGACAGGGGAAGGGGCCACAAGCACAGGGCAAGCTGTGCCAGCAGTGGCTGATGCCTTCAGGGTGTCCCCTGGAAAAAACAATGCTGCAGAAGTGGGAGAAAAAAGGGAGGCTGATCCTTTGGCTGCTGAAATCCTGAATTCCAGGCACGGCTTGAAAAGCAGCTCAGATTGAAGTGACTTGGCCCGCATGGGGCTGTGCTGCAGGCTGATACTCGACTCCTTGGCAAAGCCCTGCTCTTTCCATGTGCTCCTGGCCACCCCAGCTTCCAGCAGCATTTCTCTGACCTGGAGCTCATGTGGGAGAGACTCCTGTCTACTCTTAAGGAAGGTTCCTGCCCTGCCATAGGGAGACTTTGCACGGGCTGACAAGAAAAAGGGGGATTTTATTGAAACAAACACTGGAGATAGCAGTACAAAAATAACTGAGCTCTGTTGGCATCAAAGTCTGTTCTCTGAAAGGTGTACAAAAATAATTTAAATATAAATATAAAAGTCTCATCTTTCCAGTCACCCTCTTTTGTACACCCACCAGAATTTATGTGCCCTTGGCCTGTGTTCACACAAGCACTTTGGGCACCTGTGGAAACAGACAATTGTGCTGCCCACCAACTGTTTTTGAAAGGGCTATTTCACAGGAATAAATCCTAAAACTGGGCTAGTTGGAGAGCAGATAACAGGTTGTGGATTACCCACAGGAGTGTGTCTCACTGGGGACCTGCCCCTACAGGACACAGCTCCCTGTGGGTGACCACAGGCTTTAAGCCCTTCTAAACAGGGGATTAATTAACAACCAATTAGGCAAACTAAAAGCAGGGCCTGAATGCTGCGGCCTCCCCCTCCCCTTCCCAGGGGGGCTCTGCCTTAGCCCGTGCATGGTGAGGAGGCTGTGCTGTGCAGGGTCTCGGGGCAGCGCTATTCCTTCTTGGAGAGCTGAGCAGAGAAGATCCTGGCGATTCTCTTGGCCTCCTCCTCGGAGAGCTGGGCGCTGGGCCTGGGGCGAGCTGCTCTTCGGTAGGGGATCCCTGCAGGCACTGCTCCACTCCTGCCCTGGGGAGAGAGGCACCAGGGCTCAGGGCTCTGGCCTTGTGTCGTGGCCAGCCACAGGGCTGTGCACAGGGTGGCAAGCTGAATGCACAGGAAAAACCACCCCAGTGAGAAAGAGAATTATCTGAATCCCAGAACGGGGCCCTGGTGTATGACCTCTGACCTTGTGAGTGCCCACCCCTGGCCAAAGTCTCTCTGCATGGAGCCAAAGCAATGGCAGTGCTGTAGTCACTGGGACCTGACTGCATTCTGGCTTTTCATTGTTATTTTACTCTGTAATTTCCAGAACCATGAAGACCAAATCTCACAGGGGAGAGGCAATGCTCCATCAAGAACAAATCTTAAGCCTGCTGACAGGACAAGGCAGGGAAGGGGTTTAAACTAAAAGAGGAGAGCATTAGATTAGATACTGGGAAGAAACTCTTCCCTGTGAGGGTGCTGAGGCCCTGGCACAGAGCAGCTGTGGCTGGGTAAGCTTTAAGGTCCCTCCCAGCCCAAACCATCCCTGTGAGTCCATGATAAACGGGTGGGCCAGGCTCAGGTGCCTGCAGGGACCCCAAGCCCTGGTTTAACTGGTGTCATCTCCTCTGTGCCCTGCCAGCAGCCCCCCAGCAGCCTGGCTGTGTCCCTGATGCTCCAGCAGCACCAGAAGATGAGTAATTTCAGCACACACAAAACCACATTTCTCCCCAGCTAGTTTAGAGCTGGGCAGCGCCTGTGGAGCACTGAGAAAAGCAATCCTGCTCCTGGAGCCTTTAAGGGAGGAAGCTGGGGGGCCAGGAATGTCCTTTGGAAAACTGATCTGCCAAGCTGCCCTTTCACCTACATCCCTGGGCTGCTTCCCGGAGCCTTGGGAAAGGTCTCCTGAGGTGCCCAGCTCCCTCCCAAGAGAAACAGCTCCAGGACCCTGTTTTGGTGCACTTTGAGATGCACAGTCTGGAGAGGGAAATGGCTTTTTTGGGAATAGGAGAGTCCCTGTGTTTGATAACCTGTGCAATCCAGCCTGCAGGTAAAATACTTTAAAACACTTCTGTTCTTATTGCACTGAAATAAGAGGCATGGATAATTAGGAGAACCTTTGCTTTGCTCTTCCTAACAATTCTCCAGGATGAATTTCCTAACCCAAAATACAAGGAGCCAAGAGAGATTAAATGCAGGCCTGGCCACAGAAGCAGCTTAAAACCCAGCAGAAAGAGCTGCTTGCTGGGCAAAGCACCTGCCCTGGACAGGGCTGTCCAGAGACAGGACAGCAGCTCATCCTTCCCACACTGTTTGCTGTCCAAGGAGCAGCCCAAAGGTCAGGAGTGGCTGGAGAGGGGCAGTGACCAGGCTCTGTGCTGATCCCTGAGTTCTGCACAGCATCTGAAAGCATCTCTCTAGGAAACTCCCTGCATCTGCCAACTAACCCCATTTCAAAGGTGCATGAAACTGCATTTCCTGCCTCCCCACAGCTCCCCTTTCCCATATCCCACGTGTCCTGCACAGCCAGGGATGGAGAGCCAGCACCTCCCATTTCCAATGTAAGGAACAGAATGCCAGAATGGTTTGGGTGGGAAAGGACCTTAGAGCCCCTGCAGTGCCACCCCTGCCATGGCAGGGACACCTTCCACTGTCCCAGGGTGCTCCCAGCCCTGTCCAGCCTGGCCTTGGGCACTGCCAGGGATCCAGGGGCAGCCCCAGCTGCTCTGGGCACCCTGTGCCAGGGCCTGCCCACCCTCACAGTCAGTAATTCCCTCCTAACATCTAATACCCCTAAAGTGCCCAGCTCCCTCCCAAGAGAAACAGCACCAGGACTCTGTGGGCAAAATACTTTAAAACACTTCCCTTTCTTATTGGACTCCAGGCTGAGCCCCTTTCCAGCTCCCTCAGCCCCTCCTGGGGCTCCAGCCCCTTCCCCAGCTCCTTGCTCTTTTTTTGGACTCCAAACCTTCCCCTGACCCACCTCACAGGCAGATTCTGGCTGCCAGTCTGATCCTGCTGCATAGTTTCCAGAGCACACATCTGAAATGTCGTGTTTACAGCACTCCTCACCCAGAAACAGGCTCAGGTCAGTGCCCTTCCTAGGTGTCCTCCTGTCTGTCTGTCAGGCTCCAAGTGCCTGGGGCTCAGCCAGGAAGCACATGTGTTCCTTGGGAAGGTGCAGGAGGAAAGGGCACTCGTGCACCGTGGGTCACGCTGCACTCTGCTCCCTGCAGGAATGGCACTGGAACCTGACAGGGATTACTGAGTGCCTGGGGCTGGGCTAGAGGAAATCCAGGAGTTACAGGCCATGGTGGGGGGCACAGCCTCTTCCAAGGTCAGGGAATTCCAGGCTTGGGGCAGAGGACGGTTCAGCCCTGTGGCTCAGCTCTGTTTGTGCACAGGGATGGAGGGTGAACAGATCTGTGTGAACAGGCCACAACCCACCCTGGCACTGCCACCTGACCCTGCTTTCCAGCAAGAGAGTCACAAAGATGCGGCAGGTCAAGAAGAAACAACACAAGCAAGAAAGGATGTTTTGGCTGCTGCTGCTGCTGTTGGCATTTTTGGATAAATGCTCTTTTTGTGAACCTGCCCAAGGCTGTGTTATTTCTAATTCACACTGAAGGTAAGTGTATGTACACACAAGTATGAATAATTCTGAGTAAAACTGGTTTCCATGTAAGTTTCTTATCCTGCTGGAATATTCCTAGAGGTGGTGGTAGGGGGAAATACCACTGCATTTGGAGAGGGACCTTAGCCAAGGGCCTGGAGTGCCAGGACAAGAGGAATGGCTTCCCACTGCCAGAGGGCAGGGCTAGATGGGACACTGGGAAGAAATTCTTCCCTGTGAGGGTGGGCAGGCCCTGGTACAGGGTGCCCAGAGCAGCTGTGTCTGTTCCTGGATCCCTGGAAGTGCCCAAGGCCAGGTTGGACAGGGCTTGGAGCACCCTGGGATGGTGGAAGGTGTCCCTGCCATGGCAGGGGGTGGGACAAGAGGATCTTTGAGGTTCTTTCCCATTCAAACCATTCTGGGATTCTGGCATTTCATGGAACAGTTTCTCAAGGCTCTGATTTTTCAAACCTATCCTCTAAGCCGCACTGTGCGGAAGACAAGAGCTGGGAAGGACCCCAGGAATGGGAGGTGTTAGTTTGATGTCATGGAGAAAAGAAGGAAAAAACAAAGAGGTTTTGTGAGGCTCTACAAAACTCTGATCCCTGGGAGGTGTCACAGCATCCAGGCTGAGCCTGACCTGCTGCAGCACCTCCTCAGGGCAGGAGCTGGGACAGCGTTTCTGTCTCACATGCTGCCAGCTCCTGTGCTCTGAGTGCCCAGCTCCACAGCTCAGCACTGCTGTGCCATTCCAGGAGCCAGGCCAGCCAGGGAGAAGTGCAGGGCACGGGAAGGCCAGCAGGGATGTCTGCCAGCTGCCAGGTGAGACAGACAGGGCTCTGGTGGGTCCAGAGCACAGCTCGGGTTTCAGCCCTGCTGCACGCCTGGTGTTTGCTGACCTGTGTGCAACCAAACCACGGCCACATTTAGAAGCTGATGTCCCAAAGGCCAGCTAAAAACAAAACTGTGAGGAAGCATTTTCTTCTGAGCTCTATGTATTGGCAGCAGTGAAAAACAGGCTCTTCACAGAGGGAATTTGATGAACAAGGCACAACCAAATCCTGTCTCACACATCCCACTAGCGCTGCAGCAAAGGATTAGTGCCAGCCAATCTTCAAATTAGGTGCTTTAAGATCAAAATATCCACATAGTGCCTTGCTAGCATTTTGCCTCATTAGTAATAATTTGCAGGGCTGTAGTTCCAGCCACTCAGTTCAGAGCTGCAGAGAGGGGGTTCAAGGAAAGCTGGTATTAGTATTAAACCAGAGGTTTCTGTGACCTCAGAGCTGTCAGAGCCTGTCTGAGTCTGTTTTGATTCATCAGGCAAGCTGCTCCTGGTGACATAAATGTGCCTTGAAGTGTTTGTTCCACAGGTCATACAGAGAGGAAGAAAGGCATCACCCTGTCTGGGAGTGGTAAACAATCAGCCCAGCTGCTGCACACCCAGACCCACAGCAGAGCTGGGGCTGGACAAGGATCCTGGAATTCCAGAATGGTTTGGGTGGGAAGGGACCTTAAAGCTTGGCTCATTATCGTGTCCCATGGGCAGGGACACCTTCCATGGTCCCAGGCTGCTCCAAGCCCCATCCAGCTTGGCCTGGAACATTTCCAGGGATGGAGCAGCCCCAGCTGCTCTGGGCACCCTGTGCCAGGGCCTGCCCACCCTCACAGGGAAAAACTTCCCAATATCCAATCCAAATCTCCCCTCTTTTAGTTTAAAACTCTATCCCCTTATCCCATCACTATATGCCTGTGTAAAAAGTCACTCTCCTTTTTATAACCCCTCTTTATGAACTGAAAATAAGATAAATATGTAGATGTTGGAGCCACAAACCTCTGGCAGTAAACAAACCCTTATGAACATAAAAAAAGGCAAAACCTCAGCAATCCACAGCTTTCCTGCAGGGGGAACAACCACTCAAGCCATTCTACTGCTCCCTGGGTCACAGAATCATCACAAGACACCTCTCCAGGAACCCCTCCTGCTGCAAACTCCCTCATTTCACCCTGATCTAAAGGAGATAATGTGAAGCCACAATCACAAGTTGGAACTCCTCAGAACCAGGCATGTCACCTCACACTAAAGCACAAGGAAGGGCAGAGTGAGCACCTGCACTTCCACTGACCCTGATGGAGCAGCATTTCCTGAGCAGGCTGAACAAGTCCTTGATAGAAAGGCATAAAGGATCACAAGGGACACAGCCATGGATGTTAAAACCACCCTCAGGGAGAGAAGAGGTGTCAGGAACACTCCCCTGACCCGGCACTGGGGGAAGCCATCACCTCTACGCTGAGAGCTGGCAGGCAAAGGCAGGGAGAAGCTTTGCTCCTGCTTCAAGGAATGGACTAAGCTGGGCAATAAAGGCAAGGACAGCCCATACTCACTTTTGGAGGTGTGGAAGGATGGGAAGACGTGCAGAGCAGTCTCATGGAGGCTTCCATCTCCTGAGGTGGAAGGAAGAAGTTGGGAACAACCACAGGATCAGATCTGAGCAGAGCTGTTTAGGAACAACCTTTGGCAGTGTGCAGTTGCACAGAGGTCCAGGTGTGGAAAAAGCCTCAGCTGTTAACAGGTCCCAGACAGTAAATTTAATTTGTTTTAATCAATATTCCACTGTTCTGAACACTTGGCTCTCTCACCTGGGCTCACAGAGCAGGGGACACTGACTCACTTTAAAACAATACCTCATAAATTGGCAGAGGGCTTCATCCTGCAAAGATTCCAACACTCAATCCAAGATTTCTAATTTGTCCAAGAAACTTTAGCAAGTATTTTAAAAGCAAAATAAAGCAAGTTTCTTTTGATACAGGAGAAACACAAGAGCTCTAACACATGGGGGAAAACAACACGGAGAGAAAATGCAACAAAATGAAGTGACCCTCACAAATCACAACATTTGCTGGCTAGAAGTTTCAAGGAAGTCATCACTACAGTGTGTGAAACAGCGTAATGGGGTCCTCCAACCCCCTCCCAGATCACCAGCCCTGGATTCATTTCCCAGGGAAGAGCTTCACACAGCAAATTTCTCTGTCCCGAGGCCAGGGACACTCTAACTAAGCAGCAAAAGTGTTTCAGGAAAGAGTAAAGGATACAAAGTGATTTTTTGTTTGATGGGGTTTTCTGAGCCTTCCACTGGGTCCTCACTGCTGTCATCAGGGAAGCTCTCGCTGTTTCTTTCCGAGCCAGCTTGGGCTGAGACACTCTGAGCACAGTTCTCATCAGAAGCACTTCCTTCCTTGCCTTGATGATCCCCATTTACAGCCTCAGCATCCTCCTCCTCCTCCTCTCTCTCTGTGGCTTTTTGATTGGTCAAACCCACGTCTCCTGAGGATGGCAGCAGTTCCTTGGAGCCTGCATGGAGCTCCACACTTTTCTCTATGGTCTGGAGGTCTCCTGCTGCTGTTCCTGTGTGGCTGTGGAAGCCCTGGGAGTCTCCTGCTGCTGTTCCTGTGCTGCTGCTCCCTCTCTGGGAGTCTCCTGCTGCTCCCCAGGGGCTGTTCCCCCCCGTGTGGGGGCTCAAGGGTGGGCTCAGGACGCTGAGCAGGCTCTGGCTGTCCCCTTGCAGCATGCTGGACAAGGTGCTGCTGTTCCCTCTCTGGAAACAGCCCACATCTATGCAATGCTGCTCTTCAGGACTGGGCTCCAGAGGCTGCAGCTCAGCCCCCTGCCCTGTTTCGGAGAGGATGCTGGACCAGGGGCTCGTCCTGTCTGTCATGGTGGTTATTTCATTTAGAGTTCGTGGTTCTATGACATCTTCTTCATACTCCTCCTCACTGTGTGGCTGGGTGGCAAAAGCACCTTGGTTTTCCTGGCCAACACCCCCTGGATGCTCATCCTCAGGGACAATGGGGCCGAGGAGCTGGTGCAACATGTGTGTCCCAAACAGGGCTCTGCCAGCAGGGCAGGGCTGCTCCGTGTCCCTGGGAACGCTGGGCACAGCTGGCATCTCCAGCTGGCCCTCAGGAGCTGCAGGGCTGCCTCCTGCCTCCCTGCAGCTGGGCACAGCCAAGGCTCCTGGCTTCCTGCTGCTCTCCTGCTGCACCTCAGAGGCTGCCTTGCTGTTCTTAGTCATAGTCTGCAAGTCTGGTGAACAAAAAAGAGCATCAGTGAATGCACGGAGCAACAGTTCAGCTTAAGCCTGATTGATGTGGGGTTTGGGCAGAAAGTCCCAGATGCAAGGATGGCTGGGAGCTAAACATGCACAGCCTTGCAAACACTGCTGATGTGAGTGTGTTCTGCTCTGCCCCCACTGACAAGGCCAGGAGAACAGAAATGCTAAGGAAGAAACAGAAGCATTCAGGATGAAATGAATGGGAACTTTTACAAATTCTTTAAAAAGCCACAATCACTTATTTTTGTTTCCCAGTGAGCAGATCCTATTCACTGCTTGCATCCTCTGAGAACTGAGCTCACCAGTATCAGGTGAAGTGACCAACTATTCTGAGGCAAGGCCTGCTCCAAGGGAATGGTGGGGGACGTTTGGAAACAGTGGAGGAAGAGTCTGGAGCAGACTGTAGAGGAAGGCATGTAAAAAAGCAGTAAAAACAATTGCTAAGGATGAGAAAGGACATAAAAAGAGCAAAACCTTGGAGACTAAAGAGTGGGAAAAAGAGAAGATCAAAGTAGCAGAAGAATGGCAAATTCTGGCATAAGAGGGATGTGCCCTTCATCTCTTGGAAATGCTGCTTCCCTGTAGGAAGCCATGGGCAGAAAAAGCATGGAATAACTTTCCAACTGGCAGCAACTGTAGCTCTGGGCTCCAGTTTATTCTCTGCCCTGGTAAGTTGCTTTAAAGGCACCAGCAGGGATTGGATTTCCTTGTCACTTTGCTACTCACAGCAACAACTCACCATTGATGAGGCTGCTGACCTGAGACACCAACTGGCTGGATTTTTCCAAGAGATGGCAGCCTTTGGGATCCACTTCTCTGCCCATGGAGCCCTGATGGTCACTCTCCCACTCCTCGTGGCCTGGTCTGGACGTGCTGAAGTCGGGAAAAGACCTGGTCAGCTTCTCACTGAAGTATCTTTGAACCTCATCCAGCTCACTCAAGTTCTTTCTGCAAGCAGTGGTAAGAAATTGGGTCAGAGGGGGGAAATAAGCCTGTGGCAGCTGGGTTTAGGCTGGGTCATTCTAGCCAACAACAGGTAAACATGCAGATAAAAGATTAAAGATCCTTATTGAAAAGCAGATCAGTAGACAAGTGTTAAGGTTGCTCTAAGTGAGAAGATAACACTCCAGAACAAATCCTGACTTGGCTGTGAAACTTGGGCTGGAAGCTAAAAATAGAACTAGTTCTAAACTTACTCAAAGGAGTTGGATTTGAGATGACCTCCCAATAAAAGTCATAAAGCCAAGGATATTACTTGACTCATGGCTGAGCTTGATAAAAATCTAAGGATTGCTATGTATGAAAGATCTAGGGATTCTAAGATGCATTGCTTGTGGTAGGGATGAAATACTTCAGGAAGTCTCTGTTTTTCCTATATTCCTACAGGTAATAAATACTAATCTTCTAAATTCATATCTCATTTTAACCTAGAATCTAGTCAGGACAACAGTGCTTCTAGCAAGAAGAAAAACATCCTGCTGGGAAAGGAGACACTGCTCCGTGCAGCCCAGAAATGCTCACAGGCTCACCCCTGTACCTGTGGAAGTCACCTGAAGGGACTGCTGCCCTCACAGCACCAGGACAGACAGAGCCAAGGATTCCCTCTGGATCTGGAATCACTGCTGCTGCTGCTGCTGCTCCCCTTCAGCAGCTCACCATGCTGCTCCAGCACCTCAGCCCTGCTGGGGAGCTCCCCACCCAGCTCCTGATTTTCCAGCCTGGCCTCAAATGACACCGCAATCTCCTCGTGTCCATCACACCCTTTCCCTTCTGTCTCCTCAGAAATGGATCCATCACTGCCAAGCTGCTCCCTGAGGCTGGGCCTGCCCTGCTGGGGTTACCTGGGCACAGTGAGGGGTTACAGGGGTTACCTGAGCACTGCAGGAGTTACCTGAGCGCAGTGAGCAGTGCCGTGCGCGAGGCCGGCGGTGCTGTGTCCCTCCGGGCAGCGTGGCACATGTTCCCATTCCTGTCCTCCCGCTGCAGGCACTCCTGCAATCGCCGTGGGCTCCCGTTCCCATCTGCCCGCTGCAGGCACTCGTGGAAGCGGCGCACGTTCTGCATGTGCTCCTCGTGCCGGGGGGGCTGGCTGCCAGCGGGGCCCGTCCTGCTGAAAACAGCCCTCTGTTCAATCCCAAAATCCAGCCTGGAACCTCTCACCGTGCAGAGCCTGCCAGCTGAGAACAGCCCATGCCTTGAAATGCACTGAAGAGCCACTGATGGATAACCCAGTTCCTCCAGATGTGCACAGGAATGGCATTGACTGTCTCGGATTTATACCAATGTCAAGGTGCCAACAGTGGGGCTGGCAGGGAGCTCCCAGGCCAATTGTTCAGATCCCAGAGTGGTGGCACACAGTCCCTCTCAAGTTCAAGGACACATATGGGCAGAGGATCATCTCTGTAGGCTAAACAAACAATAAATGAAGGCACTCCCACTCATCTGAAGGGACAGAAGGCAGGAATTACTGCAGGATCTCTGACAGTCCCACTCCTGTAATATGCAACACTGCAGTGTTTCACCTGCTCTCATTCACTGCTCATGGGCAGAAATTGAGCCAAAATAAAGGGGATGCATCAGGAATACTCTGTTTAATTTACACTTACTAAAAATAACACCAAATACAGACACAGCCCTCATTCTTATCAGGGCCTGGAGAAAGTACCTGCCAGCTTTAACAATGGCACCTTTTTACAATTGGTAAATGAATTATTATTTATTTATTTATTTATTAGATTATTATTTATTTACCATCTACCAATGTCAAATAAATCCTTATTTACCAGGGTGCAAATGAAACAAACCAGGAAGTATCAATGACAAGGAAAAGAACATCTGGGCTGTGCCAAAAGGAACCTGTCCCAGGACTGCTTCCTCCTGCACCTCTCTCTCACTGGGAAAGGCAATGCCCGCTAATTTTGAAGCCCAAACACAGTGGACACACTCTGACAGGGTGTACCATTTCTCCAGTAGAGCCAATTTGCTGTAGAGAGGCATTTCTGAGACCTGAAAATAACCAAAAGGTTGTCAGCCTGAGGACTTACTGCTCTCGAGCAGGAACACTGACTTCCTTTGACAAGGAGTCCAGCATCTGCTTGGACAAGTGTGCAGCGTTACCAGGACACACTGGAAAGCTGACCTTCACCTAGGATGGAAGGCAAAAAGGAACACTCCACGTGAGTCTTTCACAATAAGAAAATAAGAGAAATTGAGGTATTATCTGCTGATCTAACAAAACCTCAGGCTTTCTAAACAGCTTTAAATTTTCAAATTACTTCCCAGCCCTGAGCCAAAGTACTATTTCACAACACTCTCATTTCAGACACTTTTGTTAACTCCCTCCATGCTAACAGAGAGCAAAGTGATGGAAAGTAGGATAAAGGCTGCCTTAGAGGCTTATAACACACCCGAGAATATCTGGGAAGTCTAGAGAATAAAGAAAAACCCCGAAAAAAAGGCAAATATTCCAGGAAAACAGATTCTTGCCAAATTAGACGCTTCCTAACCAATGAAAAGTGAATCCACTGTGTGTTTTTGAGCACCAGCTGTCACCCAAAGCAGCAAACAGAACTATGCCACGCTCCCAGACATCCCAATGCACAGATTATTCCCCTAAAAAAATCTGACACCCACGAAGCAACCACAGAGCGAAGCCAGGGGGATGCTCATGACCTGGCTGGGGTGCTGTAACTAGCACTGGCCACAGCTACCACGGCACCTTGGAGCAGAATTCCTAAGGAATCAGGCGGTTTCCATGCAGACTGCCCCACGGGAGTGTTGTGAAGTGTGTGGGGAGCCCAGAGTGCTCTCAGTGCAGGGAGGCGGGAGAGGCGGGGGACAGGGAACGCACCGGGGAGCTCTGCGGGGCGCCAGGGCGGCGGGCCCTGGCCTGCCTTTCCTCCCGGAGCCCGCTGACGCTCTGCAGAGGGGACACGGCCACCTTGATCTGCCCCCGGCACTGCCCGCTGAAGTCGGTGATGTTGTACCAGCCACACACCAGCTGGAAGCCAGAGAGCAGCGGAGACAGATCCACAGAGGCAAAGCCCAGCACTCGCTCCGACTCTGCAGAAGGAACAGCACAGAGTAGGAACAGCACAAAGCACACTGACACCAATCCTTTCAGGAATGCTCAAACACAGCCTGCAGGTGCAGAACAATCCTGTACCACATGGGGACCTTATCCGGAGGACCTGGGTTATGTTCAGCTAAAAATGTCCCTGCAGAACTGAGAAAGCCCAGGGCAGGGAGAGGGACTGGCAGGAGAACCACTGGGTGCACACAGGGCTCTGGATACACACAAAGGCTGTTCTGGAAGCAAAAATCAGACAGCTGAACTTCAATATAAAGTTAAAAGAAAGTATTTGGCTCCAACTGGCTGGCCACACTTCAACCAACTGCAGCAATAACAAACAGCATGAGAAGGAAGCAGGTAAGAGTTTCTTTCAGCAGGAAAATCCAGCCTCTAGAGCACCATCAAAATAAAACCAGAGAGAATAAAGGATACAGCATACAAATCTTTTAAGAAGATTAATGGGGAAAAGGAGGATGCCAAGGGCCAGGAAATGAACAGGTATTTATCTCTAGCATTCTTCTTGTACAAGGCAAAAGATGCCATTACAATTCTACTCTCCTATTCACTTAACAGAATTTATTTTCCTTGCATGAAATACAAGAAACCTAAGGAAAGGGACTCCTCTTAATACTGCACCACAAACTTTACCTGCTTTATGCCACACCTTGAAGACCAAGGTTTGCTGTGGATCCAGGAGAAGCTCTTTGGATAATCTGTTAGGAACAAAACCCATAATATTTTATGCAAAGCAGGGAAAAGCAGTAAAATGCTTCTGAGGTTTCAATGCCATTTTATCCACCCAGACAAACCAGGTTCTTTCTGTACTGATAGGGGCAGGAACAGAACAAACCCCAAAATTACTGAGCCTCAAAGTGTAACACATATCTACGTGGTTTGGGCTTCTGCTTAGTCAAGTAGTATTCCCCTCTCCTCACTCTTGGTGTACATTTAAAAGACAGGACAAAGAAATTGTGAGGGAACGGAAATATAGAAATAGTTTATTTCATGACTCAGTAACACAGTGACAGCAAAGCACTGGGGCTATGGTTCAAAGCTGTAATGTTTGAAGTCCAGTGCTGGAAATAAAAAATAAACAAATGGAAAAATGAAGTGCTAAATGTAGAACAGTTTTTAAGTTCTTTGAAGGGACTCAGATTTAAAACACTGGAGGAGACACAAGACTGGATCACACAGGTTCATTCCTGAATACTGCCATGTATGACTGATCTGCTGAGGCTCCTTGAAGCAGTCAATTAATCTTTTTTAATTTAAGCTCAGATATCCAGCTCTGAGCTAAAAAACCCCAAGCACTTTTCCCACCTGCCTGGCTGTCAGGTCTGGGGGGCGTCTGTGATTCCCACCTTGCTTGCTGCTGGAAGTCCCAGACCGGTGAGTCTGTGTTTCCTACCACGGGAGTGGTGACTGGAGCATCTGCTCCAGCCACAGCAAACGACACACAGCTGCTGGGGGCTGCCACCTCACGCTCTGTCAGGGGACTTCCTGAAATTACACACCGTTCAATGCAGGCTTTTAAATTAACAACAACAACAACAAAACCTGAAGGCAGTTCAGCCATGAAAACCACACGGCTGGCAGAGAAATCCAGCATCTAGAAAATACTCCTTTTCACTGGTGGAGCTGATAGCATGTTATGTTTACCATGGAAGCAAACATTACATGAACCTTTCACAGAGCAGAAACTGGAATATTCATGGGAAAAATAGAAAACCATTGGCCCAAGATCATCTAAGAAGTCAGAAGTAAAGCCAGGAATACAACCCAGGTCTTGAGGACCCTATTCCAGTGCTTGAGCTACCCTCCGTGCTGCAAGACAGAAATATTTAAATATTTCTGCAATACTCAAAAGAAACCTCCTTTATATCATCAAAACCTTTGCAATAACAAACAAAATTGCACCAGTTTTTCAAAGACTATGAATTCCAGAAGACTCTAGAATGATTATAAAAATGCATCTGCAGGGCTCAGATTCTTTTAGAGTTACATACCCTCAAATCATGGCTTGCATTTGACTCTTAGCTGTGTTATCAGGGGAAGAAAAGCTGCATACAGTGAGCCAGCTTTACAAATTTATCATGTGCTAATTTAGGAGTCTGTGAGACAGGAGCATCTCGGGGTTCAGTTACTCAGTCAGTGCTGAACCTGGAGTTCAGCTATTCAGACAGTGCCTAATTTCAGAATTCAGCTGTCATCTCTAACAGGTAGCATTAAGTTATTTATATTCTGGAGTTTATTCAGGAGGGCAGGCTGTGTAGCTCAGCCTCCTGCTTCCCCTGTACTTACACAGCGATTGGGGCTGAAACACCACGAAGCCAAGTTAAAAATCCATCCCTGCCATTCACTGTGCTGGAGTGGGAACAGATCTCAGAGGGAAACAAAGAATCAGGAAACAAAGAAAGGAAAAAGAAAGGCAGGAAAGACAGAAAACAAAGGGGGTGTGTGTGTGAGATGTTACCTTTTAAACTGAGGTGCATTGCTCTTTCCACGAGGATATTGACAGCAACTGTGTTTTCCAGAAACAGCCCGTCCTCTTCCTGCGGCTGCCCACTGGTGACCCCTGAACTCTCAGCATGCGCCTGCTGGCTGTCAGGGAGCTGCTGGCCCGGAGCAGGGCTGTCCCCTGTGCCTCCACCTTCGCTGCTGCTGCTGCTGCTGCTGCTGCTGCTGCTGTGCTGCTCAGCACAGGGGGCTCTGGGCAGGGCAGGGGGAGCGGGGCCCAGGCTGACGTGAACGCGCAGGGCGGCTCCCGCCAGGTCGGCAGCGTTGCACCGGAACAGGGGATACACGCCTGCAGGACAGGGCACAGACAGCCAGCAACTCACACATGGCAAAGGCAGGAGCTTGGAGAGCAGCTGCCACTGCTCATTCCCCCACAGACCTCACACGAGCCCAGCAGAATGAGTTTTGGCTTTCAGTGTCATTTCTATGTGAGTATCACCCAGAAGTACAAGCCTGGAAACATTAAAAATCACGACCAATCCCCCAAATTTGGTACACCTTCATGTTTCCCCAGTCACTCAGATTAGGGCACCTCAACTTCCTGAGAGCCCTGGGAACAGTGACTCTGCATCATTTTAGAGACATAGATGAAGAATACAACATATACCCTGCACAAAAATTTATTTTAACTCTTGTTCTTTCTCCCTTTCCTGAGTGTATCTAAAAGAAAAGCCTATCAGTCCACAAAGCTGATGGGTACCATGTAGATGACAGAGCCCATAAACTAAAACACAACAAGTTCCACCTCAGTGTGGGGAAGAACTTGTGTCCATGAAGGGGCAGAGCCCTGGAACAGCTGCCCAGGGAGGGCCTGGCGTCTCCATCTCTGGGGACATCCCAAACCCATGTGGATGCGTTCCTGTGCCACCTGCTGCAGGTGACCCTGCCTGGGCAGGGGTGGGACTGGGTGATCTCCAGAGATCCATTCCAACCCCCACCACCCTGGACTCTGTGCAGGACCCAACAAAGCCGTGACCATTTTGTTTCAAGTGACCAGGGAAGGAAGCAGGGTAAGCTGCCAGCAGGGAGGAATGGGAGGTGAGCCTGTGTTTCAGGGACTCACCACTGACACTCAGCGTTCTCCTGGATCTCTCTGCCAGCGCTGCCAGGTCCACGTAGGCAGATCCAATGAGACGATCCGTGTCCAGGGGTCTTTCCACCTCATTTCCCTTGCCATAGGCCCACCACACCTGGATTTCCAACTTCTCCTCCCTGAGGAACCACAGCAGCCCCTGGCTCCTTGTGAGAGTCACCTTGCTGGGCTTCCTGAAGCTCACAGTGACGCTCTCCGCGTCGCGGCTCAGTTGTGGCCGCCGCAGCCAGGTGCAGGTGGGCTCCTGGTCGTACAGTTTGTACCTGAGGTAGCAGTGAGCGCTCTCGTGCAGCTGCGCCTGCCCTGCCAGCAGCACGCAGTGCAGGGGCAGCCACAGCCGTGGCGTGGAGATGGTCACGGCCACCGGGCTGGCGCTGTGCCCCCAGGGCCCGCTGTCCTCGGGGGACTCCTCGCTGCTCCAGCCCCGGAGCCTGGCAGCCTCCAGGACACGCTCCCTGTCGCCCTGCTGGGCAAAGGCCACCGAGAGCTCCAGCCCTCCCACAACGGCCGGCAGGGAGCCCGAGCAGTGCGGGGGCAGCGGCTCCTCGGGGAGCGTCACCGGGAACCAGCCTGAGACACCTGCGGGAGGAAAGGGCCTGTGGGACTTGTCCCAGCTCCCCAAAAACGCCACTGAGGAACTGTCACCCCTCTGGCCACCAAGCAAGGACCAGAATGCCAAATAAACCAAGGGTTCAGTTCTCCTTTGGGATGTTATTTAATAATTTCCAATCTGAAAGAGCAACCAGCCTTCTAAAAGCCTCAGCAGCAGTTCTGACCCCAAAGGATTTGCACTTCACTAACAACATCCATTTTACAATGACACTGTATCCCTGGGATACCCAAGTATAAAATTATGGGTTCTCATTTCTTTCCTCCTCCCTTCCCATTAAAAACAACCTCAAAATTTTGGGCTGGAGAAAATGAGAACTTCACTGAAATTAAAGCAGAAATAACCAAGGCAAATAATAAAAACAACTTAATTAAAGGGTTTAATAATCCCAAACTAATACTAGATAGAGGAGATCATTAGTGGACAGATATGTGAATAATTTTTTCACAGAAATTTCACAGAATCTTCTAAAGTGGAAGGGACCCAAAAGGAGCACTGAGATATTTAATACACAGTTAAAAAAAAAAGGAGTTAATCCCCCTACTTTCTAATTAACTACAACTTTTGTTTCCAGCTTTGACATCTGAAAAGCAGCCACTGGTCCTGCACTAAACACTGCAACTCATGACTTGACATCCTGTCTGGATTTTCCATCTAGAAAATAAACAGCACTGAATAAAGTCCTAAGGATTTTAGGTGCTGGTTTCAGCTGGCATGGAGTAGTTAAATTTCTTCATAGTAGCCCCAGAATTTTCATTCAGCCACTTAACATCCTACACCCTGAGAACAGATTTTCAAAGAACAACCTTTATGTGACTTTCCTAATACAGGATTTTTACTGAACACATGGGGAACACCTTAAAGACCTCTGGTCTAAAAGAACCCAGAAACTGCCCCCAGAACCAAAACAATCCCCCCAGAACAGGAATGGAAGTAGTTTTAAGAAGTTGCAGTAGCATTTACACAGAATGTGAGCAGCACAGCACTCTGTGTTACCTGATCTCCTTGTCAGCAGGTCTCTGGTTGGAACTGTGACTGTCCCAAGGAGATAATCTCTGCATGTTCTGTCAGCCAGTTTGTCACTAGCTGGAAAATAAATAATTTTGTAAATACCCCCAACTGGTAGGTAAGGTTTAGAAGTGATTGACTGGAGGACAGCTGGTAAGAGGTGATCTTGATCACTGGGAGGTTCAAAAACTCTTTGCACAAGGGGAACACTCTCCCAAAGACAATTGAGATAATTACATCTACTTGCACCTGCAGAGTTCCCTGCACAGGGCTCTGAGCACCCTGACCTGCTGGAGATGGCCTTGCTCATTGCACGGGGGTGCTTCAAGTCCCAACCCAAACTATTCCATTATTCTATGAGTATTTTTTTTCCTACACTACAGTCAAGGGGATTTCTACACCAGTATTCAATCCTTGCAACACGCTCTCCTTACCTGACTCGGTGCTCTGGTGGTAGATGGAGAAAACAATACTGCCAGAGTGCAAGAGCTCGCCCAGAGAGGAGGCTTCCCCAGTGCTCGTGTGAGTGGTGAGACGGCAGAGGAAGCGCAGGCGCTGACCGAACTCGGGGCAGAAGGAGCGGGGCACGGCCCGCGTGCGGCGCGCCCGCGCCGGGGGCAGGAAGGACGGCAGCGCGCACACGTAGGCGTTCACCCCCAGCCCCGCCGGCTGCTGCACACACGGGCTCCTCTGGGCCACAGCCCTGCACCCCACAGCCGGGAAAGAAAAAGGAAAGGAAAATAAGGAAGAGAACGCAGATGATGAACCAGGAATCCAGGAACCAATGTCTTAAACACGGGTGAAAAGAGGGGACTAATAGCAAAGGTTCTCAGGCAAAATTCATGCGGGCCCTAGCTGCACGGCATTTGCATCTTTTCTTCCTATCTGAACACACTAGGGACAGACACGAAATGGTGAGAGGAACTCGTGAGTTCATCACTGGTGGCTGTGCCCTTATTTGTGCTTGAGAAGGTACTCAGCACCTTGAAGGATACTCTGTACTGTAGAAAAACTTCCCTGAGAACCTGCTCCAGAAAGAAGCCAAAGGCCAGGCCAGATTATTTTAACAGACCAAAACTGACCAGCAAAAGGCAATGAAATTAGCAAATGGAGTAATTCACAATAAACCAGACTCAGGTGTTGCTCAGGTCATACACCTGAAGGATGAGGGGTCTGAGGTCATTCCATTCCCTTGCCTTCTCCAAGCACCACATAGGAGTGATCCTCACCTTTCAGGGTCTGCTTCAGTTAGGATGGACCAGGGTCTCACAGCAACACTGAGAAAGGGTCAGACCATGGCCCTGGAATGCCAGGAGCCATCCTGCTCTTGTGGAACTGACTCCCTCTATTCCAGCCCTTTCCTGACTCTGGAAAATCACATATTCTGGAACTAAATCTAGCTGATACCACACACTGGCAGCAGAAGCCTTAAGGTGGGAAGGAACACGTTTGATTTCCTAGCCAGTTTATTGAGGTTTTCACAGTGAAATGCAAGAAAACAACCCCAGCTAGCTTTTAAATAGCATCAGCTACACCAGAACCAATGCCCAAATAGGTACCATCTCATATCAGCCAATTTTTATATCAGTCTTTGGTGTAAAGAAAAAGTGGAAATGTAGGAAAATGTGCCCTTCTGACCTGCATCCTTCTGCAGAACAAATGCCACCACCCTGTACTGCAGCTTCAGGGAGCAGAACAGCTGCTGATGGTCTTTATAAAGTTATTTTCACTTTAGAGCAGGACCTACTTGGAATCTTGGTCGGTACAGATGGAAAACTGGCCAGTAAGAATTTGATCCAATCCCATGCCTCAGTCTGCTGCCTCCAGATAAGGCTGTTTTAAGTGAAAAGTGGTGCTTTTTGAATCAGGCCTTACCTGGCTGCTGCCTGCAAACCAGCTGCCCTGTGTATTTGTACAGAAAGTGAAACAGCTTGAGCAGTTATTCCAGCTGCTGTTTTCAGGGATCGCTGATACCTCACACTCACATCGAGCAAACCTGGATTAATGAAAGAAAGGAAGGAAAGAAATGCTCACCCCTTAATGCACGTACATCCAACACACTCAATATTCAGCTATAACTATTAATACAAAACCTCCTCTATCAATGAGCATTTTCCTGAAAAGATAACTCCACAAATCCACTGGGACTGGCGGCGCAAGAAGCTGCGCTGCAGCTGGGAGGCCGCAGTGTCGCCCTCCTGTGGCCAAAAAGCAGCACTGCAAGATAAGGCCCGCAGTGTCGCCCTCCTGTGGCCAAACCGCAGCACTGCAAGGCAAGGCCCGCAGTGTCGCCCTCCTGTGGACAAACCGCAGCACTGCAAGGCAAGGCCCGCAGTGTCGCCCTCCTGTGGCCAAACCGCAGCACTGCAAGCCAACCCGCACTGGACATATTTTATGAAAAATAAAATATCGCCTGTCATGGACATATTTTATGAAAAATCCTTTCATTCGGATTTTTTCTCCTGAGAAACTGAGAGGCCTCAAACTAAATGTGAACAATGGTTATCTGCTGCTGTGGAATGCAACAGGTGGATCTTTGATTGGTCCATGTTGGTTGTTTCTAATTAATGGCCAATCACAGTCCAGCTGGCTCAGACTCTCTGGTCAGCCACAAGATTTTGTTATCATTCCATTCCTTTCTATTCCTAGCTGGCCTTCTGATGAAATCCTTTATTTTATTTTTTTAGTGTAGTTTTAATACATCATTTTCTTTTAATATAAATAATAAAATAATAAATAAGAAAATAATAAATCAGCTTTCTGAAACATGCAGTCAAGATCCTCATCTCTTCCCTTGTCCTGGGAAGAGACAGGGAAGAGACAGGGAAGGTCTTCACCCCTGTGAAGATCACCACAGTCGCCCTCCTGTGGCCGCACCCTGGTACTGCAGGCAGCGAGGCCGCAGTGTCGCCCTCCTGTGGCCAACTCCAAACACTGCAAGCCTGGGGGCCGACCCTCAATTTTTTGACAGTTTGAGGATTTCCCCTGATTTTTTACTCATTATGGTGTTAGTGAAAGCTAGGAGGAAAACCACTCCTGGTTGGTTTCAATTGCCAACGCAAATCCATATTTTTATTTGCCTTGGAGGCAAACAAACTTTTATAGAATTTGACAGAATTTTAAACAGAATCAAAACTAGTTTGGCTGGGAAAGACCCATAAAATCATTCCTCCAGCACTGCCAAGGCTACCACTCCTCCCTGTCCCTAAGTGCCACATCCACACGCCTGTTAAATCCTGCCAGGGACGGGGATTCCACCATGGCCTAGGGCAGCCTGTGCCAGGACTGGACAGCCCTTTGGGGGAAGAATTTTTCCCTAATATCAAACCTAAATCTCGCTGGCACAACTTGAGGCCATTTCCTCTGTCCTTTGCTAACATACCATCAAATACTCTTGTGCTGCTCAGAGGTTTCCTCAACTGAACCTGGCTTTACCACCTCAAGTGAAAGCCCACCAGCCCTGCTCACCTGAAGACCGCAGATGAAATTCCTCTGGGGAATCACTCCGGGGGACCAAGGGAAGGGTAAAAGTTTGAATCCCTATTTCTTCACGGTGCTGCAGAGTCACCATGGCACAGAGCCGTGACAAAGGCAGGGCCCCCTTGGCAACCAGCTGGTCTCTGACATTTGGGTAATAATATCTGGTAGGACACAAAAAACCAGCATCAACATTTCTCTCAAACTGCACAGAAGTCAACTCTGAGTGTCTTCAAAGCTTAATTAGCCTCCCCAGCTAAGGGAGAAAAATAAAAATGTATTTCCACTGAAGAAAAGAATCATTAAGTGCTTAAGCAGATAATGCTACAAATACATACTTGCACTAGAGTCTTAACAAGTCAACAAGCAAGAACTCCACTAAAAGCTGGCATCCCAAAGAAAAACAAGGGAAGGATCTGGCACCAAATATTCTCTGCTATCACTTCTCATTAATAAATGAAAATACCTCTCTTGCAGAACAGATTTGAGGTACCAGATTGTGAGTATAAAAAAATGACTCTAAACCTTTTTCTTAGTGCATTACTTGGCTTCAGCTTCATCCTAAAACAAATTTTGGCACTCTATCTTACAAACAGCTCATAGTAATTCTTATGTGACTTTGCAAACTTTAAAAAGCCTGACTTGTTTACTGCAGAATGAACAGATTATTATCTTTTTCCAAAGCTATTTGTCTTCATGGCTTCTGCTCTCCATTACTAATAATTAGCTTCCGTAGCCAAAGAAGCATTATGAATTTACAAAACACTTTTTATTATCTCTCTTGTACTCAGTGATTTGTATGAGGGAAAAGAGCAACTCCAGCACAATGAAATTATACTTTCAGGGTGCTATGAAGCAAAATTTAGATGTGTCAAGCATTTAAACTACTTTTAGATTGTTATGCTGACTAAAAGATGGAAGAAAGCAAACTATTAACACATACTTTTTAAGTTCTAAAAAAATGGAGTAATGGACTCTTGGTGGGGAATAAGGCTCACAGGTTTTAAGTGCAGATAGTCATCACTAAATGTTGATGAACTTACCTTTTTTTTTAATCTATTATTAAATAATATTATGGAATATCCATTCCAGAGCCAGAGACCTTCCAAGATCAGATGTACCTCGATCAGTATTTGCTATCTACAAATAATAGGACATTGTTCTGTACCTGCACCAGACTTCAAACTGGATTCCTCCTGCTGCTGCTCCTGGAGACATAAATGCACTGACCAGGAGCCTCTGGACTGGGACATCAGCAGGAACCAACAGGGAATGATGATGTTCATCATTAAAGATGGGATCAGGGACACACAGAGTGGTAGCTGTTCTAAATGGCTTTAATGTGATGCCTAGAAGTCAAGCAGAACTGGTTAAAAATGGTTGGAATTGCAGCTTTCAACCTTTTCCTGCTTGCAGTCCTTCAGGAGGTAGGACCCATGGACAGGGAGTGAAATCCTCCTGGGACAAGGCTTGCCCTTCTGAGCTTCACTTCACAAAGTGTGGATTTACAAGCAATCCATGCAGCCCCATGTCCCTGTGAGCCACAGAAATCCCACAGCACTTTCTGTGGAACACTTTTACTGCCTGTCATTCTTCAGTGGTGATGCAAAGCACACAACACTCTGTTCTCTCCTACAATTACAATCATTTAAATATTCTTTTGTAATTTGAAAAATGGTGGATTTAGATTGGATATTGGGAAGAAATTCCTCCCAATAGGAAGGTGAGGCCCTGGCACAGGTTGCCAGAGAAGCTGGAGCTGCCCCTGGATCCCTGGAAGTGTCCAAGGCCAGGTTGGATGGGGCTTGGAGCACCCTGGGACAGTGGAAGGTGTCCCTGCCATGGCAGAGGGTGGGAATGGATGGGACTTGAGGTCCCTTCCCATCTAAACCATTCTGTTAATTCTAGTGATCCAAAACTCTTCTGTTGGTGGATCCATGAAAATCAGAGAATTGTTATGGCTGGAAAAGGCCTCCAAGATCATCAAATCCAGCTGCTAACCCAGCCCTGCCACGGCCACCCAGTACATCACGTATCCAAGTGCCACATCCAAGCACTTTCTGAACATTTCCAGGGATGGTGACTCCACCACTGCCCTGGCCAGCTGTGCCAGGGCCTGCTGACCCTGCTGATGAAGACATTTTCCCTGAGATTCAACTTAAACCTCCCTCAGCTTGACCTGGGGCCGTTTCCTCTTGTGCTGGCCCTTGCTGCTTGGGAGCAGAGCCCAGCCCTCACCTGGCTGCACTCTCCTGTCAGGGAGTTTATTTTGGAGAGCAAATCAGGCACCCTGAAGGGCTTGTGCATTTAAAGCCCTTGCTGAATTTCACTGTGTACAATCTCCCTGCAGACCCATTTGCTGGACCAGCAGGCACAGCCCTCTAGCACCTTTCACAGAAGGTACCATGGGAAGAGATTTGGAATGAGGTCTCTTTTTTCCACTGGGAACTTCCCACCAGGCTCAGACAAACAAGGCTTTGAATCCAGTGACACAGCCCAAACCCAGCTTTTCCAAGAAAACAAGCACTGGCTGCTTGAAAGCTCAGGAAAACGTGTCCCCTCTTACTCAGGCAGAGGGAACACAACTAAATGATATTTAATTGAAGCAATGCTCTAAATAAGGGACAACTATAAACCAAACTTACCATGCTCACTCAGTCCAGGCCCTTGCAGTGCACCAGAGCCAGCCTCCTGAACTGGGAAATAGTACTGGATGTAGCAGTCAGCCTCTCCCCAGAGCGTGGACTGCAGGGCACTGAGTCCCTTCACACTCTCCACGTGGATCTCAAACACGTGCTCCATCAGGTCTTCCCCTCCTGGATCCAACTGCTAACAATCAAAAGGGGAAGCCACATGAAAGGATGACTTTAGGAATCTGGGAACATTCCAACAAGCTGCCCAGGGAAGTGGTTGAGCCATCCCTGGAGGTACTTAAAGGCCACATGAATGTGATATTTGGGGACATGGTTTAATGGTTTAACCCCTTGGCAGGGCTGGGTTACTGGCTGGATTCAGTGAGCATAGAGGTCTTTTCCAATCTAAACAATTACATGTGATAAGGATCTAAGAGGCCTGAGATGGGAGACAGAAAAATTATCTACCATTTTCCTCCTAAAGTTTACAGAAACATTGAAAGTCTGAAAGAAATTTTTCTTTCTTGCAAAGTACATAAAATGCATAAAAGTTCCCACCTATCCAACTGCAAGGTAGTGGCAAAAGCTCCACAATAAGGCTGTGAGAATTAAGATTTTCTATAATTTTGCTGGTTGTTTGTTTTTCTTTTTACTGGACTTGTGAAGATAGAAACAGTGGACATGCAAGGCAATAAAAACGGCATAAAGTCAAGACTGGTGAGAGCAAACTGGTAAAAAAAAGAGTATAAACAACATAATTCTGTGTACAACTTGCCAAATATTAAAAAAAAACTTGGCTCCAGCTCCAAGAAGAGATTGGGGATCACTCATGTGTTAATGAACCCACTGGTAAAAGCCTTCTGACATATCCTGAACAGGGAGAACGGGGTGTACTGTACTGTACCAGTGTGGGCTGTGCAGCCGGCTGGTCCAGAGAGTGGGCAGGACGCTGTGTGGCTGCAGGCACCACTCCCTGCTCGGATTTGAGCCTCTGCAGGGCCACGATCTGCTCGGCTGAGCCCATGGCCAGGGTGACCCTGAGGCTGCCGCGGGTGCTGCCCGTGAAAACGTCCACCACGGGCACGGGGCCATCCACAGCCACCACCGGGTACTGGGCCTGCAGGAGCAGGCGGGAGACCTCGGGATCCCTGCAGAACAATCCCACAACAGACAAGAAAGCCCCAGCGTGAGCCACCTGAGCAGGGACAGCATCACACAGAACACGCTGCAGATGGGATTTCCAAAGCTGACAAAAACCAGTCTATCCCCGCTCCTCTGAAATTTGCCTCACACCCCATCCTCACCCAGCAGAGATCCATGAGCTGCTGGGTGCGAGGAGTTACTTCCAGCAATGACAAAGGACAATTTCCCAAAACCTAACAGCACCTTAGCTAGGAGCCAGCCTGAGATCTATGACTGAAGAGATGAATGGGAACAAGACTCCCATTAACACCCTCTAGCCATATGATGCTTTTATGATTATAGTGATGTGCCTTTGGGCATGGAAGAAAAGACGGAACGGTGACAGTCTCCCAGAAAGGTGCAAAAATCTCCAATCATACACTGAAGTTATTCAAGGCCATGTTGGATGGGGCTGGAAGCAACGTGGTTGAGAGGAAGGTGCCAGTGCCACTGGATGGGCTTTAAGGTCCCTCCCAAGCCAAACCATTCTGGGATTCTAAGATACACAGAAATAAACTGCAGTGGCTTACTAAAAAAATGATACAAATGACACAGTAATAACTAACAAATAGTGGCCAGTCAGCTCCAGCACCGCCTGGTTTCCACATGCCACTAGGTCTGACCAAAATAAAAGGAACAAATCCTTTGCATTAGGGAGAATTTCTTCTGTCCAGTATTTCCAGCAATTTAAACTGTTTTAAGCAAGTATATTACTTAACTGAACAGAAAGCCAATAGATTAAACCCAGAAAGAAAAAAGAACACTGGAGAATCCCTTCAGATAAGAACACAATTAAATTATGAAGGTTTTGGAGACTTTCTGACACCCAGCATCCCTATGGCAGGGCAAAAATGCCTTTTGCTATGGAGTGTAACTAAGAACCTTCCCACACAACCCCCACACACCATCACTGACTCTTTTCTCTAAGCTTCACCCAGGATATTTCCCAACCCAATAAAAAATGGGGGAAAAACAAGTTTACTTGAACGAGATGTAAAACTGATGCAGAGGGAGTTTCACCAATCCCAGCAATTTGTCACAGCCAGGGCTTCCCAGCTTGTTCCATGCTTCAATAATCATGACATTGTTCTTCAGCCGCTCCAAGTGTTTGGAGGTCAATGAAAAAGGCATCACCTGAAAGGTTTGAGGTAGGATTAGCACACAGAATACATTGGAAATCATTGGCTAAGTACAGAGCATTCTGGTGAATCTACTATATTCTAGTCTAGAAAACTGTGCTTTTTAGAGACACAAGTTAAAAATCAAGTGTGCATGCAACAGAGCCAAGCAGAGATGTTTCTATGTATAGAAAGGTAACTTAGGCAGGGGATGTGTTTGCCAGTGGGGCATGCCCCACGTCCATGGGCGGGCAGGGGAGAACAAGTCGCTTGCCTGAGTGAAATGGAAGGCAGGCTGTCCCGTGCCCCAGACGACGCAGGATCTCGCTGCCTGCTCGGTGCTGAGCAGTTTGCAGTTCAGGTACACGTTGCAGGAGCCGGGGAGCGCGGAGCCGGGGGCAGCGAAGTCCTTTCCGTCGGGCACCATCAGGAGCACGTGCAGCAGCGAGCCCCGGGGCCCAGCGGGGGCCACGCCTGTCCCCTGGCGCGTGTCCCCCCCGGCCGCCGGCCGCTCCTCGGGGCTCCTTGGGCGGCAGAGGGGGATTTGTGCCCTGTCCCCCCAGCTCCTGCCGGGCTCCTGCAGGCCCCGCTGGGCAGCTGGGGCCGGGCGCCTGCCTGCGCCTGCCCGGGCACTGGGGCTGGCCACGAGCTGCAGGGACACCTGCAAGGCAAGGCACAGCTGGCCAGATGTGCCACATCCGGAAACAAGGCGTAACTCGGGAAAACACATCCCACCTTTGGCTCCAGAACCCACCCCACGGCATTATGGTGGCTGCAAGCTGCAGCTTTTGCTGTAAAATAAACTACACGTGGCTTTAACAAATAAAGTCCAGGCTGGAGTGCAAAACCATGCAATTACAGATGGATTATTGAATGGTCTGGGTTGGAAGGGACCTTAAAGCTCACCCCATTCTTAACCCCTCACCTGCTGATACAGAGAGCTGCTTATCCTCAGAACTGTCAAACCCTTCAAACTGTTAGTGCCTCTCAGTCAGAGGCTGAGCACACTGGCAGAAACTGTGGCTGGAGAAGGCAATTCCTGAAGTGACAAGGACAAGGAGGACCAAGCCTCCATGGCAGGAGAGACCTCAGCTCTTGCCACATGTGAAGGAGCCAAAGCTCCAAGCCCTGAACATGTGCCACTCAAAATTTGCCTGTAGTTTCTGTATTCAAGTCCCAGCTTAATGACAACACTCCCAGACATGCAGGAATCTCAAAATATTTCTCCAAAACCCTGAGGAATAAAAAAGGGGTCAATGTTATTTTATACAGGTCTTGCAAACCTTTGTATCTGAGACTTGGTAAACTGAAACAAAGAGAGAAAAGAGGAGTTAAAAATAAGAGTGTGCAGCCAAAATTAGCAACGACTCAAGGCAGAGATGGTAAAACAGATACCTTTAGTGGCCCAACTTGTGTGTGATCTCCCTCTTTTTCCACAGGTATGTCCCAGCTGACACTGAGCAACTCAGCCTCAATCACCCTGCGGAGCTGAAGTGCTGCTGAGCCAATGGCCACAGCCTGAGGGTAGGCAAAGAGTTAATTTTGCATGATCTCTATCAGATTTGAGGAGTTTTTGGGGAAAAAAAAAAAGCTTTCTGGCTTTCTGGCTCCCAGTCCCACTGTCAGTTGTACCAACAGGGATTTGGGAAATCTCCTTTACTTCCAATTCCAGATTAATGCAAAAATTGAATAACCTAAATCCTAGTAAATAAGCACAATTTCCATATTGAAAGATGCAATTTACTCCCCTATTAAAGGAAAACAGGTATCCTTGGTGCTGATTAAAACAACATAAGCTGAGTTAACCCCTCTCACCATCTTCATCACAGGCAGATGGCTATGCAAATAATCTTATCAGACAGAAAAATAGAAATATACCTTTTCCCCCCCCAAAATGCACAAGTTACAGCTGCTTTTCACAGCTTAAACAACGGTCTTAAAGATGAGGGGAGTACAGTTCCTTTAGCTTGCCAGTCTCAGCCTCAGAAAAGCCTTTAATGAAGTGACAGGGGTGACAAGGCTGGAACAGTGAACGGCCCTGGCCCCAAGGCTGCCAGAGCTGCAGAAGTGTTGGGCCAGCACTCCCAGGGATGCACAGGGTGGGATTGCTGGGGTGCCTGTGCCGTGGGTGCCCAGAACATTCTGTGATTCTGTGAAGCCTGAGCAGCAATCAGTGCAATGTCATTTCCCCCCTAACATCTGACTGCCTGCACTGAGTGCCTGTGGGAAGTGGGAATGCAAGGAATTCCTCTGCTTTTCAATACACAAAGAAGGAACAACTTGCAGTAAATACCTTTTTCTGCGTGCTTTTTCTCATGTAGATTTTGAAAGCCAGGTCAGAGCCCCACCAGTGCTCCATCATCCTTCCCCCCAGCCACACAGGGAACACAGACTGCTGCTGGAACTTCACCACTGCAACAAATATCCAATATCACCTGATATAAACCAACTTTCTCCTGTAGACTGCTCTGTCACAAACACGATCATTTAATTCTGCACTGTTCATTAACACCAATAAAGTAAACTGGCTTTCATTTTTGAAGGCCAGCAAACAGCAGGAGGCCAGCAGGACAAAATGAAGATTATGAATTCATAAATAATTAATAAAAATAATTAATAAATTATGAAATACATGAATGTAAACCAACATTGTAACAGCATTTAAAGACTTCGGGTGACACCAAGTCTCTGTATGCAGTAAGAGCTGCCCCTCCTCAGTGGGAGAACCCTGCCTCATCTTAACTAACAGAGTTCAAGAGGGCTCTTGAGGGAGCCAAAGCTGAGCTGCAAGACAAATCACAGCCTCAGGAGAACAGGAGGGTGTGCAAGCAGAGACAGAACCAATTCACATTCAGTCTGGAAAGGAGTACAAGTGCAGTAACAGTGTTCACAAAGGACAAGGAAGTGTTCTTGTGATGACAAAAATGCAGGTTACACCTAAGGAAATGTCCAACTGGAGGCCCAGCTCTTCCCCACCTTGTCTGGGGTGGCTGTGGAACCTTCCCCATCAGGCATATTTAATAAAGGACATAAACAACTCTCAGGAAGGATAATGCTGCAGTGGGTTTACTTGAAGTCTTCTTCAAATTATTTTCTGTTTCACAATCTATTTTTCTAGGTCCCAAAGAGCTGGACTGCACACAAGCCAAAGGCCAGGAGGATGGATGAGTTTTGGATTCCAAAGGCTGCATCACAAAAGTTCAGAAGAACCAGATGTTTCCTCTGGCCACAAATGGGGAATATACAAGAGAACTCAAAGCTTCTCAAGTGCCACTCAGACAGATGCAAAGCCAATGAATGGCCACATGGGAGAGGCATTTGAAAGCCACCCTGGCACTCCAGTTTCTGGGAAGACTGGGCAGGGAGCATCTTGCTCATCCAGCATTCTCTGCTCAGTGGCACAGAAACAGAAATTGTTCTCAGGGACACAAACACTGGTGGTGACTCTCAGCACAAGGATAAATGTCTGCTGATTTGAGCACAGGACTGGGGATGCCCTGCATCCAGCAGATTATGTGAGCTATTGGAGACAGTACATGACACACTTTCACACCTGGGGAATTATTTATTTGGGCTGTAAGTATCTCTGATATTCCTAAAAGTCCTTGATCATCCTCCCACTATTGCAGAAAGACTACTGGCTTTATGTTCAAAAGAAGAAATGGCCTTTCTAACTTGCTCTTTCCCTAGGAAAAGAAATTTGAAAATCCCACTATGAATAATTCTTGGAAGAAAAAAAATAAAATTAAAAACTCACTTGGCTTCCTTCTCCCTGAGAGGATCATTCCCCCACCTGCAGCACAGCAACTAACCATACTGTGATTTTCAGGCAGCAAGGGAAATACGTGGAAAACGCTACTAAATAATTTCCAAAGAGATGGAGTCAACAAAACTAAATCTAAGGGGGAAAAATGATGCTCTTACCATCATGTGTGATTTTGCTTGAGGCCACTCGAATTGCTTCTGTTGCTATGGAGACCTGTCCTTTTCCATCCTTGGAGACCCTCACGGGAAAGTGGTACTCCACAAAGAAGGTGCTGTGAATAAAGAAGTGGCAGGGTGACCACAATCCACCGAGAATCTGACCTGAGCCCATGAAACTCAGCACAGCAGGCAAGTTCCAGATTCACAGCTGGCTGTAACCCTTCTTTTTAGGGTAACTGAAACACCTGCTCTATGAATTCCTTCCACTGGATATCTGTGTGCCAGATCCTGCTCCAATCAGCCCCCTTTTGTTTCCAGTGCACTGAACATCTGCAGCTCCCCAAAACCCTGGCAAAGGCACAGCCTGAAGCGAGCCCACATCAGGATAGATCAGTCACACCTCTAACTTTCCCAAGTTATTGTATCCCAACCAATTCCCAAGCTGGAGATTTGCTAGGATACGATTTCCTCAGAGGAGCAGAAGCCTCAGAAGCCTGGAGACCTTGGGGAAGCTGCACTACTCAGGAGAGCTCAGGGAGATCTGCCCTGAAGGCAAAGAGCAAACAAAGCAGGAAGAAACAACCCCCCCTTACCACTTGTGGACAGATGTGGGCCGTGGAGGCTTCCCCAGCAAACCTTTCCTCCTGGGGGAGGCCTGCAGGCTCTCAGGAGGGATTTTCAGGCTCTCTATGGTGACTCTGGCCAGGTGTATTCGCTGCAGCAATGCCAACCTGTCTGCACCCAAGGCTGTGAGAGGAGCCATTTCTCTGGGCTCTTCTGGAGCAGCAGGGGGAGAGCAGCTGGAGACACAGAAATGAGGGTCAGGACTGCAGAAACTTCCCCGACGTGACCAGAATGAAGGGGGAATTGTAGCTTGGCGGGATGCTACTTAAAAAGCTTCCCAAGGTTCACTAAAACATACATTTAAAAAATATTTTTACAACAAATTTGGTGGTCTCTGTAATTCTCTGTAACAAAAATCTTACAATATCTGGCGTCCATAACTGAAAAAAAAAAAAAAACCAACCCAGAAAGTGCATGTTCCACATTGCTGATCTGAAAAAAATCTTATTCTAACTCTTCAAAAATAAAAGCTTCATTTAATGCCATGTACAAAAGCAGGGAGATGATAGAGTTATAGACAAGGACAAGTCTGCTGCAGAGGAACAGCAACAGGATTTTTGTCATAGTTTTAAATCTCATTTGTGTCCTTTGCAAGACTTGAGTTGCAAATGATTTTGTGTTTGGTTCCTCTGGGGATAAGAATTTTACCTGATGTAAAAACAGTAGTGTTAGTCAGAAAAATAATCAGAAATAATTGTTTGGAGCAAAAATGGAAAAAAATATAGTCACAAAACCTTTACATTAAATGTATTGTACAAGATAAGGTTGATAACTGAACACTTTTACTGGTTCCATATGAAAAAAAAAAAGGGAATGCAGTTTAGATGAGGGAAAACAAAAGTCACTGATGTAACTACCTGGGTTTAGTTTCTGTCACATTCTGATCAAAGGCATGAAAATCCTTCTGTGGATCCACTGGAGCTGCTTTTTTGAGAGTTTCTGTCTTGGATGATTTTTTTGGGGATTTAACATCATCATCATCACTGAGGAAATCGCTCAAACTGGAATCAGATTTCTAAAGCAGAAATAATGCACACAAATAAGAAGTTAATTGTCATTGTACAGAGAGTCCCATAACAGTCACAACACATAAATGGAAAACAACTTGTGCATTGCATCAACTGAAACAATTAAAATGGTATCAAAATTTCAGGGATTTAAAAAAAAAGTCTCCCTGGACAGCTTCAATGGCAGCAATTTCCAAACTCAACGCTTGACTTTGTAGTCATAACAATGTTCTTTTAATAATAATAATTTCAAGCAATGCACACACAGGTACTCACAAGCATTTGTATGATACTTAAAGCTTATCCAGCTGTAAAATACTGAAATCTGTACTTTTTCTGCTCATGCCAACCTCCTGCCCTGCACATTAGGGAAGGCCCGTTTTCCTTACAGATGTGCACCTACAGGAGCTGTGTAGAACAGCCTCTCCAGCAGGCTCTGGTCGTAGTGGGGATCCCCCAGCTCGCTGTCGTGCGCCTCGCTGCCAAGGGACAGGGAATCCCACAGGGCTCGGTCCCAAAGCTGCTCCGGGGAGAGATCAGCGCTGTGGGTAAAGAGAGAGAAACACCCCTGGGTGCCAGCCTTGCGCAGGCAGGCCCCAAGGGACGTGGACAATGTTCCAGCCTGGAGCTGGGCCATGCTGGCTCCAGCCAGGGGCAGCCTGGCCGAGAGCAGATCCCTGCAGATCCCTCAGTGAGGGACATCCTGGGCGAGAGCAGATCCCTGCAGATCACTCGGCCCAACCCCTCCTCACAGGGAATGAAATGCAAATAGAAAGGTGTCCAGCTGGATTCTGGGTGTCTTGGAAGCTGCAGATTCCACAACCTCTTTGGGCAACAGACTCCACACCTTGATGATTTTCATTGTGAAACATACCTATGAATATCAACCTCTAATTTTTACTCTTCACTACTTTGTAACTTCTGGAATGCTTTAAGATACCAGTGATACCTAAGGACAGTTTACTTTGATTAAAAAAAACCCTTCCAAGGTATACCTGAGTAGGTGCAAATGCAAATATCTTTAGACACAAGCTGGGGTTAGTTTGGCTTAAGGATTTTCTCTGGGCTGAGAGCTTAAAATAATTCTATGATCTGCAACACTACAGTGTTATCCACTGATAAAACACAGTGAAAAAATAAGTGCAGGGCACAAGAAACATGAGCCATAAATTCTGAACCATGTCTGACCCAGAAGCTGTGTCTTCAGGGCGCAGATGTCGACACCATGGAAGCATCATTTATGCTCTGCTACACAAAATGAGAGGAAAAGGTCCATTTAATAGCTACAGTTTCTTATTAGTTTTAATTTACAGAGTGTTTCCTCTCCCAAGAAACAAGGTATTTGCTTTATGTGCTTACTTTATGTAACATTTTAGGCCACAACACTTACAACTATTCAGTAACTTAATTTTAGGAAAGATTGTGGGTAATCTTTCTGACATCATCTTTCTTTTATGAAAGATTGTGGGTAACCTTTCTGACATCTGTTCCCCACCAAGTGGCTTGCAGCTGTCCAGGTTGTCATGCATTAAAGCTGGGCTATAAAACACCTCCATCACTTGCACACAGGTCACTGGTTACATTCCCAAAAATGGGAATGTAACCCATTTTGTGGGTTACAAGGGTCAAGAGACATTTTAAAAATGGTCAGATGAGGACAATTTTGCAGAAGTCTCCAACGCATCACACTCACCTGCCCAACAGTAACTGGATTGCTCTTTCTTCAAGAGAGTTTAGGTCAAACTGCTGACCTGAAACTTCAGAGCCAAGGTGATGGGGATCCCCAGGAGTGGGCACAAAGCTGGACTTCAGGCCTCTTGGGCTCCTGGGTAACAGCAGTGGAAGCACAGACAGCAGAAAAAGGAAAAACATAAACACATTAAGGCATGCTCAAGATGAATCCATTAATCGGTCTACCCATTTTTTTCTGTGAAGTCCAAAATAATCTACTTTAACACAAATGCAAATAGTTTGTGCAGAAAGAAATGAAATTGAGCTTGCAAGAGCATCACTGACTGTCAAAGACAATGGCATTGCCTTCTAGTTATCACAGAACAACAGGCAATATTCATATTTTTCCAGAGGGAAACCAAGAAATCTAAATTTCTTTTCTCCTAGGAAAAAACCATGCATTTAGGTCATCAATTACTTACACTTTTCTGAAAAAGTTTTTTGTGATGCAGTGCCATTTCACTGGCACTGTCTTGCACTGCTCTTATTCCCTACCAAAATGTAATATTTCCTTGACAAATAACTTAGAACTAAATACAAATATTCTAAGAAATGAAATTAAAATCAAATACTTATATCAAGGCTCACTACATGAAGATTAAAACGAATTCACAAAATTTAGGCATTTATTCACAGGCAGAAATTAACTTCCCATTTGAATGATGCGCTGCTTTCACCCTAAATGAATCCTCAAACACATCCTATGAATCTCAGTATCTACAGTTTTTGGATAAAGCCTCACAATTTATGGCTTGGAGCTTGAATGTCACCTCCCCCAGTCCAAACTCACTTTGTTGGTGCTTGGAAATCGTCTCTCTCTATAAAATGAGAGATTTTATTCAGTTCAATCTCCATGTCTGGGCTGGACTTCATTGCAGAAACAACCATGGCATCACGGAGTTTACTGCCCTGATCCAAGAGAGCTGGGAAACAGGCAGAGGGATTAATTGCAGCATTCAAATGCATCCTAAAAGCCATGTGGAGACACAATCAGTGTGTCAGCTACAGTCAAGAAACTTGTTTTCTGCTGTTGGAAAGAGATCTTGATGCACTGGGGGTTAAACATGTTTGATACACCAGCAAACAGCTGAGCTGGGAGTGAGCAGGGTGCTCCTCCATCAGTCTCCCACCCCGCTGCACAAGGAATTGTCTGCACACACAGGCTCAGGTACTGAAGGGCCTTATTAGGATAATTCAGGGAAGAGCAGATTGCCACTTCAGGATGTCTAACTTCTGCTCTTTTCTGTAAATATGGAACTCCAAAGACAGCACACATGGAAACGTGCCCTACTCCAATGCTGGGAAAGCCTTTCTGGATTGATGCAGCAAGAGGGAGCCAAGTCTCTCTTTCCCTTCAGAAAACCTGACAGATATTCAGAAACGCAGACAGGCAGAGGCAAGAGCATCTGCAGTGAAAGGAGGAAGATGAGGCAGGCTGCACACAGACCTGAGAGCAGGTCTTCTGTAGCTGGGCTGTGCACGGAGAGCATCCGTGCGCTGCCCCTGGGAAGCGCTCTGGGATCGCTGCTGGCGGGGAACGACGGGGGCTGATCCTCAGGGCTCGCTTTCACACCTTCCTCTGGCAAAATCACGTGGGCATGAGGGGCAGGAAAGGTGAACTTCATGTTTTCAGAGCTCTCTTGGTACAGCAAAGGGTCCTTTCCTCTAGGGAAAAATGAAACTGTATTTCAGTGACAGCTCCAGAGGGTGGGTAAAGGGATTCAGAACTCTAGAAATTCTCCAAAAGGAAATGGGACATGTTATTTTAATGATTCCTCACCTGCCACTGAGACCACCAGGGACCCACCCAAGCTGCAAGTACAAGTTTTTATTTAAAAAAAGCTTTTTAAAGGGTCTTTTTTACAAGAGTGTGTTGTGACAGGACAAGAGGGAACAGATGCCCACTCACTGCCAGAGGGTAGGTTTAGATCAGATATCAGGAGAAAGTTCCTTGCTGGAGCACAGTGAGACTCTGGCACAGGTTACCCAGAGAAGCTGTGGCTGCCTCATCCATGTCCAAGGCCAGGCTGGATGTGGCTTGGAGCAATCTGGGATAGTGGAAGGTGTTCTGGCAGCAGGGCTGAAATGAGATGAGCCTTAAGATCCCTTCCAGCCCAAATGATTTGGTTATTCGGTGATTTGAGGCACCTCTTGTGTGGTCTTGCATGACTTGAACTAAGCCAACCTAAGAAGCAAGTTTCTACCAGACAAGAAATTGTTCCCTGTCCCCCCTCAACATCTTGGATTTCATACAAAATGTATGTTTGAAAAGATCAAGCATCCCATAACTCACAAGTGTACTGCCACCACTTAAAAATTCTGCGTGCACTGCAAAATAAACCACGGTTTTGTCATGAGGAAAACAGAAAAAACGGTACCTAGGAGATGTGGCTTTGCTGTTGTCAACAGAGTCCTGTTCAACAGGCCCCTGGGCTGGAGCAGGAGGCTGGCACATGCTGCTTTCCTGGGCAGCAGCAGCAGCACCTGAACCTCCCTGTGTGGCTGGCACGCAGCTGCTGGTGTCATACAGCTCTGGCAGAGGCTCTAGAACCAGCGACACCTGGGACACAAGATGGGGAAATATTACTAAATATTACCTTGTTCTTTTCCTATCTAAGTGCAGTAAACACTGTAATCAAATCCACCTGCTGTGCAATGAATGGAAAACTGCTTCTCTACATAAAGTAATATTTACGTTACACAGCTATGTCACATATTTACAACTACTTGTTTCTTGTTCCACGTTTCCAAATCCAGTCAACTCCCTTTCATAATCAATTTTCCAGAGCCAATTCTGGCTGCAAGACACAACTTTCTTAATTCCAGATGTCAAAATCTTCTCTTATTCCAGCCCAGTGAAGTGTAAGGACCAAATATGCATTTTAAATCCACTGCTAATACCCACTCTCAGTGTAGAGATGACCACATGTATCTTGTTAAGGTCAACTACCCCACACCCCTCTAAGCAAAATGAAGCTGACACCACCATTATTTGTTTGGTTTTTTTTTCATTTGTTACCTTAGCTCAGAAATGCCTTGGACAGAGAGTGTGCCATGTACAGCTTGACCCTGCACCTGATTATGCCATTGTCACAGCATATAATTTATAGTAATATTATATTATCATGCAATAATGAGCAAAGACATCAAGAGTACCTGCAGCTCCCCGAGTTTCTCCGATGTTGGTGACACCACAGCAAAGGAGCCTTTGATGGGATGGCTGGGAGACAGCTGGGACAGCTTCGTGATCTGCGCCCGGCCAAGGGGCAGGTGCTCTCGCTTGGTTAGAACCTCCAGGACAAGAACTCCCATATCTGCAAAAATCAGGAACACCTTCAGGGCACTCTCACCGTCACAAGCGACATTTTTTGGCTAAAATTACAGAATATTATAAATACCCCTATTACGGTAACGGGGGGGCAGCAGGTAAAGAAGGGTCAATACAGACATTGTAACTGGCAGTAGATGATGGGGAATAAGTATTTGGAATTTGGAATAAGGATTCGCAGGAAAGGAACGCTTAGGGCAGGACATGGGGGAATGAATGGCTTACCAGTGCTGGAGGGTATCCCCAGGCCAGCCCGTTCCGCCCTGCCCGGGAACAAACGGCTCCGGACGCCGCACCTGCCTGCCCTGGCGCACCTAGAGCCCGCGTCCCCCCGTGCCAGCCCGCTCCCAGCGCGGTGTCCCGGCGGTGTCCGTACCTGCCAGGTAGGCGGCGAGCTGCCGGGGCCCGCAGCGCACGGCGAAGCGGGCGCAGGTGCGGCCCGCGGGCTGCCCGGCCCTGCCGGCGGGCTGCAGCACGGTGCCGCCGGAGCTCTCGCCCCACCACCGCAGCCGCACCACGGCGGCGGGCTGCGGACCGGCCCACAGCACGCGGGGCACGGAGCAGCGCAGCCAGCAGCGCGCCGGGCCCCGCACCAGCGGCGGCAGGCTGGCGGCGGCGGCGGGGTCACCGGGACCTGCGGGGACAGGCGGCGTCAGCGGCCCGTACATCACCCCGGGCGCCGCGCCGCTCCCCGACCCACCGCTGCACGCCTCTATCCCCGCCGTATCCCCCGAGCCCCGCTCCGCCGCCCGTCCCGCCGCGCACCTCCCCTCCGCGGCATCCCGCCCGCGCCTCCCGCCCGCCAACCGCCGCGGCGGCGGGGACTACAGCTCCCGTGCTGCCCTGGGCACGGCGGCGGGAGCGCGGACTACGTTTCCCTTGGTGCCCTGCGGGCGGGCGGGCGCGCTCGGTGCCGCGCGGCGGCGCTGTTGGCGGAGCCGCTTCCGGCGCGGCGGGGCGGGGGCGGCGCTCTCGGGGGTCCCGGTGTTCCCGGTGTTCCCGGCTGTCATGTCGGCCCTGGAGAAGCAGCTGCATCTGGGCCGCCTGCCACCTCGGCCCCCGTTGCCCGGCGGCGGCGGCCAGTCCGGGTCCAAGATGCGCATGGGGTAGGCGGAGGAAGGGCAGGGGCGGATGCGGAGAGCGGGGGGAGCTCGGGGGGAGAGGTGACAGCGGAGCGGAGGCTCTGCAGGGCGGGGGGCGGGCTGGGGGTCTGGAGGGACCGGAGGCCTTTACCGGGGGGATCTGCCAAGAAGGGAGGCACGGTATTCCGGGTCTGGACAGGGAAGGGTCATTACTGGGAGATCGGGACAGGGAATGGTCATTGTCGGGACATCTGGACAGGGAATGGTCATTATCGGGGGATCGGGACAGGGAATGGTCATTATCGGAACATCTGGACAGGGAATGGTCATTGTTGGAGGATTGGGACAGGGAATGGTCATTATTGGGAGATCTGGACAGAGGGGACCTTGTCCTGGGGGATCTGGAAAGGGAATGGTCATTATCAGGACATCTGGACAGGGAATGGTCATTGTCGGGAGATCGGGACAGAGAATGGTCATTATCGGGGGATCGGGACAGGGAATGGTCATTATCGGAACATCTGGACAGGGAATGGTCATTGTTGGAGGATTGGGACAGGGAATGGTCATTATTGGGAGATCTGGACAGAGGGGACCTTGTCCAGGGGGATCTGGACAGGGAATGGTCATTATCGGGACATCTGGACAGGGAATGGTCATTGTCGGGGGATCGGGACAGGGAATGGCCATTATTGGGAGATCTGGACAGAGGGGAGCTTGTCCTGGGGGATCTGGAGAGGGAATGGTCATCACTGGGGATCTGGAGCAAGTGGTGGTCATTCTTAGGGGGTCTGGAAGGAGGGCTGGTCCTGCTTCCCCGTGCTCCAGGTGAGTGGCACCTGGATCAGGCTGCTCCAGCTGCAGGGGCACCAGTGCCCAGCGTATCCTCAGGCCGGGGAAGGTGCTGGGATCAGCTCTCCAGCCCTTTCCTCCCGGCCCTTTTGCCATCAGTGTTTGGAGGAAGGGTCCGGCACCATGTCTGGGCTGTACCTCAGGGTGTGGCTGGGGGGAGAGGTGTGTGGGAATTCTCAGGACCTGAATTCCTCAGCTGCAGCTGGACTTGGGTAATCCTTGTGCTGGGTCACTTTCCAAGTCAGAACATTCCATGATTTCTCAGCCGCAGGCACCCATGTGAAGGCACTGCCAAGTGACTTTAATCCCTGCTTAAATCTGCATTTCAAGATGATGGAAAAGTCTGGGATACTCTTTAATCTTTTCAGCAGGGGTTGAGAGCACATTTTGGGATCTGTGGGGGAAGGCTGACCAGTGTCTAAGGGTGTAACATGTATTAATTTATATAATTCTTCCTCCCTTACCATGCATGGGGTTTTAAACGCTGTCAGGGAAATTATTGTGAAAGAAACAAAATCCAGTGCTGCGGTTAAGGATCAGGAATTCCCCTGGAATCTTCCCTTGGAAGCAGTGGGGAGTAGTTCATAATTATGTTGTGGTTTGATGTTCTGCTCTGCCCCCCAATAAATCCCTTTACAGGTGATGTTCCCGTTGTGGGAGGTGCTGCACATCCAGCATGGAACGTCCTCATCCAGAGGCCGTGAAAAGGAGACAAGGAGGGAGTGGGATAAAAGTTTAGCTTAAGCTGAGCTTACCCTTACCAACGTTCAGTTCTGTTCAAACAAGTGCAAGATTCCCCCTGAAGAGAATTCCACCAGAAGAGAAAGGGATTAGTTGTACAGGGAAAACACAGTGTGATTTACAGTGCTGGCAGATGTGCAGGGCTGCCCTGAAACAGTCCTTCAAAATTCAAACTTCTACAGGGAACAAAAATAACTAAACTTAGGAAAATATTTGTTTGCTGCATTAAGCATCTCGCATTTATAAATGTGATTTATTTCTCCGCTTTCAATTTTTTGAATTGCAAGCCAGGCTTTTAAAAAAATAGGTTTAACCTTAATATCCAAGAATGCCAGCAACTTGAGTTTTCCATGGCTAAATCCTCTGACCGGTGTGTTGGGCACTTTCTTTTTATTCCCTTTTTTCTCCACCATGCAGGTCATCTTAATGTGACTGTGGTGTAGCTGAAAGCAGATCTTGACAAGCAGAGGCTCAAGCATGTGGGATTGCTACAGAAAAACAGAATTCACTGAGAACTTCCTAACTTAAATAAAGTCTTACATTTTTTGGCGACATGCTGTTAAAAGGTTAATGTGTGTTTCAGTAGTTCGTAAAAAACCAGCACCTGTTGCTGCATTTAAATCCATGAAAATAAACTTGTTCCTAGCTTTTTTCTTTAAAATTTATTATTTTCTTGCTATTTTTTCAGTACAATCACTTCCTTATGTCTCTCCGTGGGAGAGAAGTCAAAGTGGCCCAAGCAAACCGAATTTTGGAATGGTTCAGGTTGGAAAAGCCCTCCAAGATCCTGGAGCCCAGCCTTTCCCCCAGCCCTGCCCAGGCCACCACCACTGCCCCACGTCCCCAAGTGCCACATGCACACAGCTTTCAGTCCCTGCAGTCCCTTTTGGGGAGGGAATTCTCCCTGATATCCAGCGTGGCTCCTGTGACATGCTTTGGAGTGGAGCATGGGATGTGTGCTGGAATTTCAGTGCATTTCATGGCACGTGGCATCAATTCCTGCTTTGCCAGCACAGTCCTCTCCTCCCTGGATTTAAGTGCTCTCCAGCAGAAATGATGGTTCCAAAAGGCCCTTTCCAAAGGAGGCTGGAGCTTCTCTTAGGCTCGAGCAATATGTGAAACTCAGCCTCTGGGAGGAATTCCGTGCCCATTTCTTTAAGGAGCGCTCACGGCCAAGGCTGTGTTGGGAATTGCAAGTGATTCCTTCAAATTGCTCCATGCATAAAAACCAAAAACAAAATCAAAATCACAAAACAAAACAAAATCACGCTTATGGGCTGACTCTGTGTTCTTTGGGGGAATAAATAAAATAATAGAATTTGTAAAGCCACCCCCCATGGCAGCAGATCCCAACAGCTGTAGCAGCTTCTGCATTTCCTGTCTTGTTTTTTGCCCTTTGTTTTTTGCTAGTGGCTCATTCAGAGCTAAGCACCTGGATGGGATTTAAAAGTGAAAGTCAGTTTGCCTGTTCCTTTCCAATGTGTGAGTAAAAATCACACACAATCTCTGAAGATCTTTCAGTTATCTAGAAGGGCATGATTGGATCAGATCTGTGTAATTCAATCATGGCAATTCCTACTCATTTCTTCCTTTTTAATCCACTTTTCCCCCTTAGAATCCTTTTAATAAAAAAAAAAAAAAAAAAAAAATTATGTATTCAGCATCTCTAAGGCAGAACTTAAGATACTGTCCTTGTCAATTTTTAGAATTTCTAAATACAACTTGTCAGCCGTAGCAGTTCGTACTTGGAGATGATGTTTGATTTGCTTGGGTTCAAATATGATGTGGGAATGAAATCTCCTGATTCATGCACTTGTTCTATATTTGCTTTAGTAGTTTTAAATAGGGGCTCTCAGCAGAAAAAGGACTTTCTGAAAATGGTTCCTTCTGCTTGGTGCAACTATTTTTTTTTTTTTTCATTTTAGGAAAATACCTGAAAGAAAACCCCTTCAAAAATTGGGGAAAGATTTGCTGAGCCGTGTGGGCATCCTAAGGATCAATGACATGACAAAGAGGATAACCTGCACAATAGCATAAAACAGAGGGTGCCCAGAATTTGTTTTGCAATTCCAGTTTAATATGCTGGCTTGGAGTTTAAGGATCAGTCTAGAAAAGTTATTATGTCAGATCCATTTCTGTTTTGGTTTGCTGGATACTTTAAAAAGCTATTAGTTAGTTCTGTCAGCTTAAATACTGGTCAGCAAAATATGACTTCAACATAGGAAGGTTCAAAACCACAGCTGCTGTTTATTGGGCAGACTTCTAATTCTGAATGTGTGGGGATGCTTCGCTAAAAAAAGCAGCTCTAGGAAAACTCAAAATCAAGGATTCCTTTCTTTGGAGGAACTCTTTTGCTCAGCCCTCTGTGGTCACCTGGGATTTTGTGGAAAGCAGCACATTTATTCTGCCCTTTTAGGGGTTCAGGGTTAAACCTGAGGTCGCTCGCGTTTCCTCACCGTTGCTTGGATGCCACGTTCCCTACAGATTCTTGGTGTCACAGCGATGCCAGGGCTGGCCATGCAGGGAGTTCCTGCTGCCCACCACATCTATGGATCAGTGGGAAGGGCTGTAGGCAGGCAGATGACAGCATGCACGGATCTCCTGGAGCTGCTCAGGGCAGGGGAACCCAAAGGCAGCTGTCGCACGCTGTGCAAAAGCCTGGCTGCAGCTGAAATGCTGCACTTTGAGAGGGTGAAGGAATTCGTTCTCACTAGCTGCACATCCTACCTATGCGAAACCCAGAGAGGGGAAATCATCCAAGCTGTGGGCAGTTCTCTGCATCTCCAGAAAGAACCAGAACTGGTATGGAGAGAGCATGTGATCAGGGCTGGGATGGCTTCCAGGCAAAAATTAAGCTTTGACTGTGATATTTTTTTCCTTGATCAGAGGATGAGATTAGGCTGAGGTGGTAAAAGAGATTAATATTTTCTGGATTCATGTAGGTGTCTGACTTCTCATTTTATTTAGTTGAGATTTAACAAGAAGTCTGGAAACCCCCAGGAGGGAATTTGGTCCATTCAGGGGGTGGCTGGTTTATGTTTCATATCCTAGAAACACCAGGGGAAACAGAAGTTTTGTTTCTGCAAAATTGAAAAGCTGCTTTGTCTGTTATTTTCTATTTCTTTAGGAAGCCAAGAATTCAGGAGAAACTTCTCCAGCAGGGATTTTTCTCCTCTGAAGGTCTTTCACCCCTCACGCCCATGCTTGATTTTAATATTCTGTGCTGCCTGCCTGCCTCCCCCAGAAGAGCTGAAGTGCAAAAACATGGTTAAAATGGTGCACTGTTACTCATCCTGTATCCTGGGCTCGAATTGAGCCTAATTATGCCACTTCCAAAATTAAGCACTACTCTTTTAGCCTTACTGAGTAAATACCAGCCCGAGAAACAAATTCTGCATCAACTGAGTCATCAGGAAAATTCTGATTGCAGAGCCTTTTGTCAGTAATGGTGGTACAAGGAGAGGGCACAGCTGCACCTTTTGAAGGAAGCAAAAAATAAATTGGTTTGTCAGCTGGGCACCTTTTGCCTGTGGGTCACTGCAGGCTCGGAGGTGGTACTGGGACAGTATCACTGTTCTGTTCATTTTCCCTTGCCTTGGGCCTGTGTAGTCTAAATCACCATTGCTCAGCCTTCCTTGGAATGACTCGATGAGGAAAGTACTCTCTTCTCTGTTTCCACTGCGTTTCCTCACTAGGAGCAACAATTAGGGGAGGATTCCTTCACTGACAGTAGAATTCTGGATATTGTGGTTGTGTGGGAATTTCACTGATGCGCCGTTTGCTTCCAGTCTGCGCTGTTGTGTAACACCAGTGAGAGGAGGCCTGGATGCCAATTTCAGTGGAAGACTTTAAAAATAACTCTTTCTTATGGAATTTTTTCTGTCTTGCAGCCCTGGAAGAAAGCGTGATTTTTCACCAGTGCTTTGGAGCCAGTACTTTGAGTCTATGGAGGACGTTGTGGTAGAAAATGAAACTGGCAAGGATATATCCTTTTTTCTTTCCCCATATTGAATTTGTCATAATCTCAGAGATTATGGGGGAGGTATCACGTTTTGTTTAGTTTATTTGGGTTCCTCAGCTTTTTCACGTGTTCCTTCTCATCTTCCATTATGTCTCCTGCAGGGCTCAGTGTTCATAACCAGAACTATCCCTTCTAGGCTGACAGTTAAACTGTGCCTAGCAAGGCCAATTCCTGATATTGCTTCTTTAGTAATCATTTTTAATTTAATTTAATTTAATTTTTTATAATTTTTAAATAGCGTTTCCAACAGCCATGGGCAGGGACACCTCCCACTGTCCCAGGCTGCTCCAAGCCCCAAAGTCCAGCCTGGCCTGGGGCACTGCCAGGGATCCAGGGGCAATCCTCTGGGCACCTGTGCCAGGGCCTCCCCACCCTCACAGGGAGGAATTTCTTATGAACGTTTAATCTAAATCTCCCTTCTTCTAGTTTAAAACCATTCCCTTGCCCTGTCATTATTTTGCCTGTGTAAAAAATAACTCTCCATCTTTTTTTCCTAATGGATTTCTAGTTTTCTCTTAGTTCACTTCCCTGTTGTGCCCAGGGAGAAAAGGACAGGGGATAAGAGAATTAAAGAGGGTGAGAAAACCTGGGCAGCAGGAATACAACTCTTGAAGCTTAAACTGAGTTAGATTTTTGTCCAGACAATGCTTGAACATTCCTGTTGGTCAGATAAATGAAGGGTAGAAATAAAATACTTTTTGGTATTGCAAGCTCCAAAATTCACTCTGCTGCCTTGAAGTAGCTCTGAGAAATGTCTTTAACTGTTCATACACTTTTCGAATTTACAAAAGTGGCTTGGAGGGGCCTGTCTTGCTGCTGCTGCATGGTGGAGGCCACTCTGCCCTGTCCTGGGCCGTGTTTACTGTAAGTAAAGCTGCTGCTCTGTTTGTGGCTGCAACTGCTTGTTGCTGCTGATCTCCCTTTGCAAACAACATTCTCTCTGTCTCTGCTTGCAGTCTGCAATCATCAGCAGGATCCAGTGTAGGATTGTGGCCTTAGACCTCCGAGGCCATGGTAAGTCAAAGAAATAAAGCTGGGGTCAAATCAGCGTGTTACACATGCTCCCATTTTTCAAAGGAGATGCAATGAATCCCTCTCAGGATGGCTGGGAAAACATCCTTAAGGCATCCCAATTTGATTCAAAAGCATGGATGGAAGACTGGCTTCTGTCAGAATCTGAGACCCCCTGAACTTTTGCTTGAGACAGTGGTGGACTGCTTCCTTCCACCAAGCCCTCTTTCATATTTCCATAACCTTTAAGTGGTCCTTGCCATGAGAAATGAGGACTGTTCTTCCATTTTAAGATTCATAAGGAACAGTTACGGGCAGTGTTTCCTACCCAAAGTACCAAGTGTTCCTGTTAATTCTGTGTTTCTTAATTATTCATGTTCATTGCAGTGGGCTTGCTCTTCATATCTGTGCCTAAAAGCTTTGTACCATCACTGCTCTAAGTCCTGAGGGGGCCTGAAGCTTTTCAACTTAAGTGAACTTAACTTGGGTTGGGTTTTTTTCTAGGAGAAACAAAAGTAAGGAATCCTGAAGATCTGTCTGCAGAGACTATGGCAAAGTAAGGAAACTTATGCTCGTTTCCCTTTTTACAAACCTCCCCTTTCTCTCCTTGGCTGAACAATAAACTCCTTGAGGGCACACAGCCTTCATTCAGAGGAGCTGGAAGATTAACTTCACGTGATTCTGGTAGTTACCCCTCCTTTCCTTCCATTCTGGGGCAGTTTGAAATGATGTCCCTCCCAGCTGAGTCAGATTCCAAGAGCTGGAGTTGTTCTCCCAGTACCCTGAGATTTTAAACACTGAGCACTTTAAACCTGCCACATGCTGAAGAGTTCCTAAGGGAGGTGGAATGCTTCCCTTAGAAGCATGGGGCATTTTAGTCTGAATCACCAGTTTGACTCTTCCTCAGCCCCTGGGGTGACTGGTCAGGGCGGGCCCACACTGGCCTGGTAACACTCCTGAAGTGTGGGTCACACACACAGGATCTTCAAGCACAGAATTGCTTTTCCAAACTGTCATGACCCGCTTTGGCATGCAAATCCATCCCCCTCTTGACAAAACTGTAAGAAAAGCAAATACCCACTGCTAAGCACATTATGTTCTGCCCATATTTAGTACAAAGAGACTCTTTGCTGTGACTACAACTAAATGATGAAGGATTTTGTAACCTTCCCATGGACAAATCCACTTGGTTTGTTGAGGGGAGGCCATGTGTGAAATGTATTCTGACTTCCATTGTATACCTTATTCCTGCTGCTTATGCCTTGTCAGATCCTGATGTGTAACTGTCCTGAGGAGATGCTGGATTAAATAATTAGAATATTTTAGATCTGGAGCAGCACTGCTGTGGGGGGAAAAGCAAGTTCCTTTTGTTTTGAAACCTTCCCCTCTTCTTAGCAATGAGCTTGAAATTTAGTCCTGAGTATCTTTTAAAGAGGAGCCTTAAATTATAGCTGGTGTTCCTGTTTGTTCTTTTAAATCAAGTCCTCAAACAATTTTCTCTAGTGGAGCAGACAAGCTGGTCAACCTGTTCTTGTTTTTTTTTTTTTCCTTGTTTTCCATTTTCAATAAAAATGGAATCATTTTTTCCAATAAAAATTGCTCAGATCTCAGGTTCCTCTGAATGGCTGTAGTCAGGAAAGCCAGCTGGGGGGGTGGGTGTCTTTAAACTGCTCTTCAGGAGATTTCAGCTGTTAGCTCTGCTGCTGTTCTGGGGTTTGGGAATCATACCAGCCAGCTTTCCCATCCTGGCAAAAGTGTCAGGAAGTGACAGCTTCAGTTTAGCAGGAGGTACCTTTTGGGAAGGGTGGGGAAATTGCCCCTTGTCTGTCTGTGCTCACAGAGAGTCTCAGTCTTTTATCTCATGCTCAGTGTTGTTCGTCTTTGCCATGGTCAGCAGGGCCAGCAGTTATTTTTCTCTCTCTAATTCTAGTTTCTTCTTTTAAGAACAATGAATTTCTTGGTTTTTGCTTCCATGCAAGATGATTTGACAGCTTTTTCTCACCTTTTATTTAACGTTCCCACCAGCAAGTGTCAGCCTAAAACGTTTTCCCCAAGGAATCACAGAATTTGGGCTGGAAGGGACTGTAAATTTCATCCACATGGGCAGGGACACCTTCCACTAGGCCAGCTTGCTTGACCATCTTTTAAATTAGTACCTTTTGAGTGAGGATGCTGCTAACAGAAGGAGAAATGGCGCGGATGTGCAGGGTTTCCTGCTTTGCAGCAGCGACAGCAGAACGAGCCGGTGTGCAGCCTGGGGTTCAGCAGGGGTGTGAGGCGCTGCCCGTGTCCCTGCTGGGCGCCAGGCGGGTTTGCTGTGCCTGCAGGGACGTGGGCAGCGTGGTGGAGGCGCTCTACGGGGACCTGCCGCCGCCCATCATGCTGATCGGGCACAGCATGGGCGGCGCCATCGCCGTGCACACCGCCGTGGCCAACCTGCTGCCCAGCCTGCTGGGGCTCTGCATGATCGACGTCGTGGAGGGTGAGTGTGCCCAGCGCTGCTCCTGGCACCGCGTCCCCCAAGCACAAGGGTCTGCCCCCTCTCTAAACCCACCCATCCTCCCTGCAGATCCTGTGCGCACAAAAAGCTTTCCAGTGTGACCCCTCCTTCTCCTTTTCCCCTTCTCCTTCTCCTTCTCCTTCTCCTTCTCCTTTTCCCCTTCTCCTTCTCCTTCTCCCCTTCTCCTTCTCCTTTCTCCTCCTTCTCCTTCTCCTTCTCCTTCCTCCTTCCTCCTTCTCCTTTTCTTCCTTTTCCTTTTTCCAGCTGTCTTCCCTCTGTTTGCCTTTTTCCTGTCACAGAATCAGATGATCAGCTAGGTTGGAAAAGACCTTGGAGATCACTGAGCCAAGCCTATGACCTAACACCACCTTGGCACTAATTTCTTTGAAACACTTTCTTGGTGGGGAGGAGGGTGGCTTTTTGCTGTACTGCTTGGTGCTGATAAATGACTGCTGCTTTCTCTGTCCAAACATCCTACCTGTTCAAAAAGCAATTTTCCAATATGACTGTTGGCTTAGCAATACTAACCTGTACTTTCCTTAGCAGCATTAGATCGCTGGGGAGCTCCAGCTCTCTGTGAGGGCATTGCAGCCAGTTTTGTGTAGAGGGATGTGGCAATAATTTCATCAGATGCCGTGAAGCTGATGAAGATGATGCCATTTGCTTTTAGGTACTGCCATGGATGCCTTGAACAGCATGCAGAACTTCCTAAGGAGTCGTCCCAAAACATTCAAGTCGCTTGAGAATGCCATTGAGTGGAGGTAAAGCTTGGTTTCAGCCTCTGGAATCACTTGTCTTTGTCGCCTGACTCCGGAAGGAAACAAAGTTTGTATAGTCTGGCTGTTGACAGGCCCTCTCCCAGCCCCTGCCATGGGTTTAACCCTGCTTCACTGTTTCCCCACCAGCCTTCTCCCTCTTTCTCTTCTCAGTTACAGTGACAAAGGGAGGGTCACAAAAGTTTAGCTTGAGCCACTCTGTTCAGTGCGAGAGCAGGGGCTTTGGGAATGGTTTGGGAAGTCCTGAGATGTAGAGGAGTTTAACTCCTCTTTCTGGGCCTGCTGATTCTTGAATCTCTTCAGTAAATATTTCTGTCTTATGATTATTTTTTTCCCCTAGTGTAAAAAGTGGACAGATAAGAAATCTTGAATCTGCCAGAGTTTCTATGGTCGGTCAAGTCAAACAGTAGGTGGCCTTTGGTTTCTTTCATTTATTATTTTAAATTTTTTTTTTTCTGTTTTACAACACCATTGCTACATAAGTGCACTTGAAAATGAAAATTTCTTAAAGCAAAATTGCTGAACACCTATGGTTTAATCCTGGGTGGTGTTTTGCTTTGGACTTTTTCCTTTTGCCAGGGAATCAGTTTCTGATTTTATTTTCACAGGTGCGAAGAGGCTGCCAGTCCTGAATGCCCTAAAGCCATAGTAGAGGGAATTATTGAGGAGGAGGAGGAAGAGGACGAGGATGAGGAAGGAGGAGGCTCTGTCAACAAAAGGAAGAAAGAGGATGACACAGAGGTTGGGAACTTGTTGCTGTGTTTTCAGCTTCCCCTGCAAGAGCTGTCACCTGTGGTTATCCAAATCATTCTGGTATGAAAGGGAGCTGCTCCAGGGAGAGAAAACTGGATGTGAGCCAAGCCCAAATGTTCAGACAATTTGTGAGCTATTTGTGTCAGTAAAAAGTAACAAATTGATTGCCCTGAATCCTGCAGGCTCTTCTCCTCTTGGCGTAGCTCTTGCTGACTTTCTTGTTCCCTACTCATGTACTTTGATTTGGAGAGAGACTTAGAAGCAAGGAGGGTCATCCCTGGAAGTGTGTAATCCACCAGAGGGAGCCAGTATTGGTTTTATTTTTTATATCTATGTATTTGTGCATTTCCAGGTGGCTCCCTGAGCTGGTTTTCTTTCTGCTGTTTTGCTGATCACTGATGCAGAGCTCTCTCTCCTCCCTGCAGACAAAGAAGGAGCATTTATACACGTGGCGAATCGAGCTGGCCAAAACAGAGAAGTACTGGGATGGCTGGTTCAGGGGTTTATCCAACCTCTTCCTCAGCTGTCCCACTCCAAAGCTCTTGCTTCTAGCTGGTACGTGTCCCTCCCAGCCCTGGTGTGCACCTCAGTCATGTCACACTTGCATTTTAGAGCACAGGGTCAGCATTGGGCTGCAGTGGTTCCTGGGCTTCTCTGTGTCTCCTAAAATAGCGTGGTGTGATCTCAGCTTCTCCAGTGAAAGTCAAGTACAGCTTTAAGCCCTTTTTGTATACCTTAATAGCAAATACCTTCTGTAAATACCCTTTTAAGTAGTAGGGAGGGGTGTTCTCCTGCATTTTTGGCTGTGTTTCTTTCCTGTAACTTTACTCTCTCAAGGTGCAGCAGTGAAATGCCCTTGTCTGGGTGTCAGAGGTGTTTATTGTCTGCTTTTCAATCTAATGTCTCTTTTAGAATACAGAGTAAAGCCTGGCTCAGAGAATTGTGTTCTCTCTGCTTGTAGGTGTTGACAGGCTGGATAAAGATCTGACCATTGGACAGATGCAAGGTAAGTATTTAATATTGTTACTTCAGCCTTACTGTAATGCTCCTTTTGCATGACAGCTTGTTGCTATGGGTGCAGTCAATATCCAAACAAATGGGCATTAAAGAATTCGTCCATCCCAAAGTGTTCTCCTGCTGTGGTCAAGGAAAGGTGGGGAAGGTGAGCAGGGAAAGGTTCAATTCAAAGGGCTGTAGCTATGGGTTTTGTTCAATCCAGTGTTCAGTGCTCCCAGCAGTGGAGCTGCTACACTTCTCTTGGATCAGAATGATTGCCTGTGAGGGCTTTTCCCTAATCCATTTTCCCCCTTTCTAGCTCCATCCCTGATGTTCCTAGCTAGGACACTTGGGACCATTCCAAATTCTCCCATCTCCCAGTGTTTCTGACAGACAGCAGACCAAGATTAAGCACTTCATTCATGTTTTGGGGCTTGGGTTGGGGTTTTTCCCCCCATCCCAGCCTTCCAGAGCAGCCAGTACTAGAGAGTAGTACTGGATAGTAGGATAAACGTTACCTTGTGGTAAATCTGGTGAGAGTTCTAACTCTGACACCTGCCTGCATTGAGGAGCTCTGAGAAGCTCAGCTCCATTTGAACTCCTGGGAACCTGTTCTAGTTACACCTGGAGAAGGTGAACTAAGCAGCTGGTCCACGTTTCCTTTGGAGACCACGGGCTGTGCATGGTGTGGAGTCTGCTGAGACTCCCTGCCATCCCTGGGGCCCCTTTTCCAGCTACACTCAGTGCTGAGGTCAGAGTGTGAGATCCGTGTGCTGACTCTCTCAACCCACAGGCAAGTTCCAGATGCAGGTCCTCCCACAGTGTGGCCACGCAGTCCATGAGGATGCTCCGGACAAGGTGAGCCCCGCCGTGGGGTTGGAGCTACAATAATCCACCATCCGAAATGCATAAAAGGATCTGTTCCTTACCATGCAGCAGAGATCGTACCTCAGGGGCATCTGCTGGCACAACAACTGCCTTTCACCAGCAGCTTGGATTTTTTAGCTGTCTGGAAAGCCCTGGCTAAGATGTTACATGCCACAGGGCTGGGCTATGGATTTAACTCGCAGGCTCGTGGTGATGTACCTAATTCCACCCATGTGGAGTGTGGATTTCTCCCCCCTTCATTCCTCATGCAGTTCCCCACCATCCCTTGCACAAATCTGCAGCTTTAGAGGTTTGTCTGTGTTTTGTTGAGTGGTTCAAATTTTCCAAATAGAAACCAAATGTTCCTTTAGCAGCTCTGACAGAACAGTGCTGCTTCTGGGCACTGCTGGAGTTTGTGTCCAGATGGAAGCAGGAATGCGGTGCAGCCAGTGGAGCCTGTGGTTGGGAACACATCTGGTTTTAAAGCTCATTCTGCACCGACAGCTGTGTTAAAACTCAGCCTTTCTGTGCTTCACTTTACAGTCTGAAATAGGTATTTTTATCTAAACATACTGAGTTCTTAAGCTGCTACGGGTTTTTTATACATTCTGAGCAATGTTGACCAGGCTGGACGGGGCTTGGAGCAGCCTGGTGTAGTGTAAGGTGTCCCTGCCCATGGCAGGTGTTGGAAATGGATGAGCTTTAATGTTCCTCCCAGCCCAAACCATTCCAGGTTACTGTCTTGCATCCTGAATTTACCTTTTCTCCCTGCTAATTGTTTTAAGAATTACTGAAATGGGCGGAGAAAATGTTTGGTCATTTCTTGATGGCAGGCTCAGTGTCGGAGTAAAGCTGGAGGTGTGTTACACAGAGCTCTTGTTTAAAAGGAGCAAATGGTTCAGCAACAGACTCCTGACGATGTGGACTGTTGTTGGAAATACTGCAGGCTTTGAAAACTGACTGGGTTTCATCCTCTCTTAGTGTCCCTTTAAATCCTGAGCTATTTTTTCCCTTCTCTCAGGTTGCTGAAGCTGTTGCAACGTTCCTGATCCGTCACAGGTTTACAGAGCCCATTGGTGGATTCCAGTGGTAAGGCTCCGTGGAGCTGTGTCCCTGAGCAGAGCTCCTGCTCTCACTGCCTGTCTGGCTCTCAAGGTGGGAGCCTGGAATTTTGGCACGGTGCTAAAAGCCACAGATAAACAAACAGCTGTGAATCACAGCCAGTAATACATTCAGTGTTTGTGTTCCTTTCAAATTTCTCACATATTTACGTGTGCTGATGAAACCTCCTTCCTTGGAAGGGAGGAGCAAAGCAGATTTCTTTCTCTATAGCCTGCCAGAAAGAAAATGACAAATTTTATGGCATTTAGCTTAAATAATATTTCATTAAGTAACCAAGGCCCTGCGTTGTGGAAACAACTTGCATCACACTCCCTTGGCCAAGAAATACTGGTGAGATGAGGCAGGTAAAGCTGCGTGCTTCACTTTGCAGACTTTCCATACTTACCTCATGTGTTTTCTTATCAAAATGGCCTGTGGAAGCCAGGCCCCTGTGATCAGCCAGGCAGTGAGAGAAGGGTGTGATTGATAAGCTTGATAGTGTAGGTTGATGTGTGAATAGGGAGAGAGAGAAGACCTAAGGGCTTTACAGCTAAATTTAGGTTGTCACAGAGTTTGCAGAGAATACCTTGATGCTAACATGGAGTCTTTCTTCCATTCTCTTTTTTGCCTCCTAGTGTGTTTCCTGCTTGTTAATATCCCGGTGTTCTCCAGCACTGATTCCCATTGTAAATAAACTGCACCAGAGGCCACTGTGATGTATCCATATCCTCTCATCTCCCAGTCCAGCAGCAGTGAGAAGTTGGTGTGAGATTCATCCCCTAGAACTAGCTCTCCAGAATATCTAAATTCTTAGGGACTTCCTTGCTGGGAAGCAGCTTCTACTGAAGACCATGAAAAGCTCTTCAGGCCCTTGGAACTGGGATCCTCTTCTCTGCTGCCACAAGGAAAGACCTCCTGGAATCCCATGTAGCCAATCATACCAACCTCGGCCGATTCTCAGGCTTTCCTGGACCCAGCTGCAGAAGGGCTGTTGGCAGTCCAGATCCACCGAGGGCACTGCAGCACAGCCAAAGGCTTCAGGATTTCTCTGTGGAATCACTGGATCATCTTGGAAGTGCCCCTTAGATTTGGGTTTTATACATACATACACTTTTTTCCCCCCTAAAGCAGACGAGGGATCGGCTTCATTGGGAGCTCAGGTTTCATCTCACCAGAGCCAGCCTTAGGGGTTAAGCTGTGGAAAAGCCTGGAGGCCACTTTCCTGGGCAAAGCTGGATGGGACTGAACCAAAAAGGCAAGAGGGGGACTGTGAGATCCATTTCAGAGTCTTGCAGTTTGTCAAGTGCTCGTTTCAAGTCCTCTCTGGGAAGGAGAGCCTGAATAACTCCATCCACTACAGACACATCCCAGGCCAGGGGACTCTGAACCTGCCTTCATGGGGAAGACCCAAGAGCAGCAGGGACAATGTGATCAGCAGGCAGTTTGTCTGTTTTCTGCCCCTGGAATGTGTTTGTCCTTCCCTTCTTGTAGCTGCCACACACAGCTGGGCAGAGATCAGCACCTTTGGGATGGAAAAACATGGAATGGGCTGTAGGAAGACCCCTGGGAGAGCTTGGAGTCAGCCCTGCTGATGTTGATGCAGAGGTGTAGGCAGCTGTTTTCCCCAGTACAAGAGGAAGGACCCTGTTTCCACTGTTGCTTCCTAGATCATTTTGCTGCCTGCCTTCCAGAATTCCATGTGCACAGAGAGCTTTTCTTCAGGGTTCAGTTATCCACAGATAGCTCCTGGGCTTGCTTTCACCTAAGAGTCACTTTTGAGTCTAAGAGCAGACATGTTTTGGAGCAGTTTTCCTCAATATTTTGCTGGTGGATGTGTGAAACCCCTTTTTTTTTTTTGCCTGGTGTCCATAACCCCCTGCTGCTGTCAGATGATTTTAACCCTGCTCTGCCGAGGCAAAGTTCTGTGGTGATTTGGGAGCTGCCCTGTGCATCCTGTGACAAGAGCCATCAGGAATCCTTGGCCCTTGGGAGGTGCAGGTGGGACAAAGGGTTTGACCACGGAGCTCCACTTGGCTGTGATTCACCAGGCACAACCTCATTCCAGAGAGGAATGCCCTCCTGGCACTCTGGGCACTCAGGTGTGACAGGAGCAATGGTGGCTCTCTGCGCTTCCCTCCGTGAGTCACCGTGTTGATGCATTGATTTGATGTAATTCCACCCTGGTCTAGTTCCTGATGGATTCAGTGGATCTTCAGTAGTCAAAATGCAAAACAGTTCTTCCCCCAGCCGTGTCCCCAAAATGGCCAAAATCCCCTTTTGCAGGAGACTGCTTGGTTCAGATCGTTAGGGGTGAGTGAGTGCAGCGTGTCTGTCCAGTCTCCATCGTGTCTGTCCAGTCTCCATCGCGGTGAGGTCACATTCCTCCGTGGTGAAGTCACTTGGAGAGCCTGACTGGGAGCGAGGAGCGACTCCTCCTCGGTTATCCCTCTGATCTGTGAGCTGTCAGAAAGCCCGACCAAACAGAACCCTCCGTGGAAAGCCAGCCAGTTCTGTACTCTGCAGAAGCACCACTGGGAAAGGAACGATTCCTGCAACCCTGCGGGCTGCCTGGGATTCTGTTTTGCTGTTAACATTGAGTGAGTGAAAAGAAAATAAATATTCCAAGAGCCTGTTTAAGTGACTGGTGCGTTGCTCCGTGCCAGCTCCCAGCCCTGCCCAGGTGGCTGTTCTGGGACTCCTGTGGGGCTGGATTAAAAGGATGGGTTCCAGGGACAGCAGCAGCACCACGGGGGTGGGTGGAAGGGAAATTCCTTTCGGCTATAAAGTCAAGCCATGCACATTTTTGACACTGGTCTTCTGTCTGAGGAGTATTAATGCTCCTGCTGCAGTTTCCAGGGGGCTGCAGGCTGGGGTAAGTGGCATTTGATGAAGAATACAGAGGCTGTGGTAAAAGTAACTGCAGAGAGGAGTCTTCTCTCTGGCTCACGAGAGACAGGGACACAGAGAAATTCCTCCCCAAAATTCCCAGCTTTGCATTTTTCCTGCCGCCTTTTGATTACTTAGAAACCTCTCTTGGTCTTGTTTCACTTGTTGGATTGAGGATCCTTCCCAATGGAGGATCCCAAGGTTTGGCAGGAGCAGGAGATGCACTTTGGGATGCTGGTCTGTTGCAGGCTTCATTTTAATTGAATAAATTAAATAAATAAATGTCTGAGACCTAGGATGGGCTTTGCCAGATTATCTGTGCTGGACAAAGCCATCAGGGATTTACACATGACTGGAGCATTGGGATTGTTGGGAAAAGATTATTTCCTGTATTGCCAAAGCAGGTTATTCTTGCTTTGAATAAGTCAGCCCTTGAGGAAGGAATTAAACTCAGGCCTGGGGCTGCCCAGCCAGAATTTTCCCCTCAGTTTGTGACAGGGGTGATGCAGCAGTAGGTAAAATTGTTGTTTTTCCCTTTTTGGCCAGGGAAAGGCTTGGACAACCTGAGGAAGGCCATTCCAGCCGTGCTTCCCACGTGTTTGTGATTGGCAAGCAGCACTGGGATGACTTGCAAAAGGCAGAGCTGGGCAACACAGGCCTTGGAGAATGCCCCCAGGAGGGTCTATTGGGTATTAGGGAGAAGTTTTTGTACAATTTAGGCCCTGGCACAGGGTGCCCAGAGCAGCTGTGGCTGCCCCTGGATCCCTGGCAGTGCCCAAGGCCAGGCTGGACAGGGCTGGGAGCAGCCTGGGACAGTGGGAGGTGTCCCTGCCATGGCAGGGGTGGCACTGGATGGGCTTTAAGGTTGGTCCCTACCCAAATTATTCTGATTCTGTGACTTTAGCACTGACATTTTTCCTCTTCTCCACTACTGCCTTTTCTTTTGGGGGCAGGAAGGCCTGGGAAAAGGGCTGTGTGGAGTGCCTGGCAACCAGCTGTTCACTGGTTTGAACTGGTAATCCACACTCTTGGAAATCCAGACCTGCATCTTTAGGCAAGGTCACAAACTTGAGTTGATGGCTTTTCACTTCCAAGAGCCCCTGTCCCTGGTGCATTGTCCCCGAGCCTGGTGCTCTGCTCACAGGCTGGAAGTGCCCTTTGTGTTGCCCAAAGCTGCATCCCTCATTTGTGCTGTCTGTCCGTCTGTCCCTCTGACAGTGCTGCCCCCTCAGTGTCCATGTGGCATCCAACACAGCGGGAATGGGACTGGCTGTTTGCTCCAAGTTTTGCTGTTTCCAGAAGGAAAATGTGTGTGAGTGTGTGTGTGTGTGTGTGTGTGTGTCAGTGTCAGTTCCCTGGAGGCCACACGCCGTGTCCCGTGTCAGCCTCATCCTGGTCTTGTCCTGTTCTGTGTCCATCTCCCTCGCCTACAAATAAAGCATTTGTGAAAATCCTGGATTGGGAATTCCTGCTTTCCCTTTAGCTGTGATGCTCGGGCTCCTTGGAGCAGCCTGGGGAGGAAGGGGGTTGATCCAGCTGTTCCTGCACCAGACCCAGCCACTGGGTTTTTCTGGTGACTCATGGAAGCCTCTTGTCATCCAAAATGCTTCCCCATCCCTTCCCTGCACCCCAGTGTGGGGGATTTAGCCACAGCTTTCACTTTTCCCCCTCCTTCCTGTGACCAATGACTCCCATATGTGCAGAAACATCTGGAAGTCATAAATGGGCTGGTGAGTAACCTGTGCTTTGTTCAGCCTTCTCTGCGTCCTGCGGTGCTTGTTCCTGACTGGAACTGGGAGAAGCTGCAAGTCTTGCAGGCTGTTTTACATTCCGGCCGGTTTAACAGCCCCAAAGGGCTGCTGGAGCCTCTGGCCTTGCCCAGATGCTCCCTGCAGCTCAGCCCTGTCCCTGTGTGCCCATGGAAGGGTTAATCCAGGCTGGATGAACACAGCCAGGAGCGATAAAAGCGCATTTCTGACCCCAAAGCAAGGAGAGCCTCGGGAGAGCTCTGCCTTCTGCTTTATCCCCCTCCCGATTTCTGTCCCTTCCCTTTGCCAGGCCAGGAGGTGATATGGGGATCTCCCTGGAGAGCTGGGTTTCCATGCCGGAGGGTTTGAATCTCACCCAAATGCCACCCGGATGAGCGGCTCGGTTTAGAGACAAGATTAGGAGAAAAACCGCTCTGGAAGGAGTGTTTCCTCTAAAGAAAGGGCTCAAACAATCCCTTTCTGCCAGTAGGCGGTTAACAGCAGTAGGTGAAAGCCCAATCATTTTTCCTCAGAGTGCCCACAAGGCACAGGAAAAAGAAAATTAATAAATGCTAGATATTGAATTGTCCGACCTTAACACCACTGCCCCCCCCACCTCACCCCCGCTGGATATAAACAAAACCAAATGAAATGAAAGGAAACGAAACAAACAAAACGAAACAAACCAAAACAAAACAAACAAAAACCCCCCAACAAAACAGAACAAAATCCCAGGAAAGGGGGAAAAGCCCACAGGGGCCGCAACGTGGTGGGGAGGGAAGAAAATGGCGGCGGCTCCCGTCCCGTGGAAGAGGAACACAAAGGGGTCACCCAGCACCTCGGGCTAAACACAGGGAACCTGTGGATTTATGGCGGTGTCCCCTCGTCACTGCAGATGATGCCGCTGCATCTGGTGTCCTTCCTCCGGTTGGCTCGGCTATGCCGAGTTTGGGGCCGGGCCGGGCCGGGGCGGCCCCTCCCGTCCCCGGCCGATGCTCTTCCCGCCGGCTCTGCGGTCCTGGGCCCAAACCGAACCGAACAGCTCGGGGGAAAAATAAAAAAAAAAACGGCCGAAGGATTGCTGGATTGCTCCCACAGTCTCCTAGGCCAGGAAAAGGGGGAAAAAAAGCGAACCCAACCCTCTTGCCTAGGCTAACAAAGCCCAGGCTCGCTCAGCGGGCTGAGGGAGGGAGCCTGGTCCGCTCGGCCCCGCGGAGCAGCGGGCAGGGAGGCACCGGGAAAGGCCGCGGAGAGCCACGGGCTCCCGGGGGCTGCAGGGGCATCGCTGGGCATGGAGCGAGGGCCGGGGAATGGGAAGCCTGGCGGGTTGATGGGCCTGGCTGGAAGGAGCTGCCTTCTCCCCGAGACTGGATTTAGGCATTCCAAAACAGATGGGAGCTGCCGGGATAGGGTTTGGCACCCCAGAACAGACTCCGGTGTATAAAAGACTTTATTTCCAACCAGTTTGGCTGTGGTTGAGCAAGCGCCCCTCCCGATCATGCGCTGCTCCACTGCTGCCCCCTTCCCTCCCTCCCTCGCTCCGTCCTTGGGGAGATGCTGTGCGGGGGTGGCTTTGCCACCTGCAGATGTCACATCAGATGTCACATCTGTGGTCCCAGGGCAGCTCAGTCCTGAGGGTCAGCGCTGCACGGCCGCCGGAACTCCTGCCCGTACTCATGGATCCACTTATTGGCCACTGGAAGGGACAAGGACACGGACCCCTGTCTGCTCCCTTCCCTCGGCACCTTTCTCTGATGCTGTGCTGCTGTCGGGGAACTTTTCCCCTATCGTGCAGGATATTTGTGCATTCCCAGCCCCTCTGCCTCCCTGTCGGTGGAGTTGTGCCTCCAGCCCCGGGGTGAGCCCTGGTAGCATCTCTCACCCCACTTGTCCCCGGCCAGGACGGGGCAGCCGGCGTGGAGGGTGTCCCCATCACCATTCCCGTTCCTCCGCAGGTTCCACCAGAAAAGAGCCGCATTCTGCGGAGCAGAGACGGGTTTGGTACCCCAAAACAGAGCTGGGATCCCCAAGAGTGAATTTTGGCACCCCAAAACAGATTAGGGAGCCCGGGGCTGGGGTTTGGCATCAGGAGAGGCTTGACCACAACTCCCTGCAGGAGCTGGGATACAGAGGGCAGTGCCCTTTCCCTTCCCTGCTCCCAGCGGTTCCACACGAGCCCTCACCTTGACCACAGGCACGCTGAAGTTGGCATAGATGAAAGCAGTGGAGCCTCCAGCCTCCACTGCACTCAGCTGGAAAAGGAGCAAAAATAGGAGCCTTGGTCCCCCCTTCCCTGTGGTGCTCCTTTGCACAGGGAAACTGAGGCACAAAACCTCCCTTGGGCCCCAGCTCTGTTCCCCCACTTTCCCACGGCACAAGCTCCTGCATACTCCACAGATGCTGGCACTTCCCACACATTCCAGTGTTTTAGGGCTGCCCTCACCCATCCCATCCCCCAAGGGCCAAGCCAGGCTCATCCCTCCAGGCCTGGAAACGAGGGGGGACTCACGTAGATCATGATTGTGGCGATCCTGTTGCCTGACTTCATTCTGTACAGGGGGCTCTTCGTGGACTGCTCCAGGAGGGGAGGTGGGCACGGTCAGTGCTGCCCTGACACAGCTCAGCCCAGAGGCCCCTCAGAGCTCTAAGCTGCCCCACGCTGTTCCCCCCTAGAAAATCCCTTCTCCCTTCTTTTCTCTCCCTCCTTCCCTCCCTCTCCAGGCACCCACCCAGGGATCATCATCCCAGGACCATCCATCCCACCCCTGCCAGGGGCCATACCAGGGTGCATCACTAGGAACATCTCAGGGAATAACCTTGGGATCACCATGGGGACACCCCCAGGGACGTTCGGGGTCTTTCCTTGGCCACCATCCCAGCAGCACCATCAGGAGCATCCCAGGGCCCATCCCCAGGAATATCCCAGGGCCCACCCCAAGAGCACCCCAGGAGCCACCCTGGGCGTCACCCCCGGTGTCCCCAGCCTGGCAGCTCCCTGACCGTGGCGTGGTCGAAGTGTGGCTCGTAGTGGCCTCCCAGGCCGTAGTTGACCACCTGCAGGTGCTCGGCGTAGGGCGGCCGCAGGTCCAGGCCGGTGAGGGCGGCCATGCGCCGCTCCAGCGCCCGCACCACGGGGTCGGCCGTGTCCTTCAGCCACGCGCTGCAGGACACCTCGCATCAGCCCCCAAATTCACCTGCAGCCGGGCTTCACCCCCAGGGCACTGCTGGAGGAGCCAGGCCTCCCAGCACGGCCCTGCTGCCACCCCAGAGGTGGCCACGGAGCCACGGGGGTCCCATAGAGTGGCTGGAGGACAAGGGAGGGGTGGCCGCTACCTCTTGCTTATCCGGTACTCGGCTTTCTGCTGCTTCTCCCCGGAGGCAACCACGGATCTCTGCAGCTGAGGGACACATGGGGGAGGCGTGTTGCCATGCATGGGGACCCTCACACCAAGCAGGGGCCGTGGTGGGTTTGTGCCAGCTGGTTGTCCCACCCCAAGGGGTCTCACTGGGGTGAGGGGAGCAGTGGCAGCAGGTGGAGTCACCAAGTCAGGCCTGGTTGGGAAGTGGTTTAGGTGCATCTGTGGACCTGGTTTCTTCCAAAAAGTCTTTGGGGCACTCAAAAGACTCACATGGAACTGGGGTCATCATTCCCAGGGTCTCTTCTAATCCTAGAGTGGTTTGGGTTGGAAGGGCCCTTCCAAGATCATCCAGTTCCACGCCCTGCCATAGGCAGGGACACCTTCCACTAGATGAGGTTGCTCCAAGCCCCCTCCCATCTGAACTCCCTGGAGGAGGCTTTGGCCTTAAAACCCCTCCTATCTCTGCATTCACCCTGGATCATGATCACCCTGCTGCAGGAAAGGGGCATCCCTGGGGACAGGGAGGGCTCACCCAGGGCCCTGCCAACCCCTTGATAGTCTCAGCCTCAGCATCGGTGATGAAATCGTGGTACAGAGCCACGTGGGGCTGGGTCCGGACCATCTCCTTCTTGGCAGGCTGCAGGAGCAGGAAGGGGCTGCCGTTGGTCTCATAGGAGCAGCCGAGGTGCAGGAGCTGCTCTGGGGCTGCCTGGGGGGGAAGAGGACCAAGGAGGGCGTGAGGGGGGGACCCCAGAGGTGCTGGGGGACCCCGCAGCCCTGGCAGTCCCACCTGTGCCCTGGGGCGCTGGCACAGCTCCTCGTAGGCGTCACGGCTCTGCAGGCGGGTGCTGTTGGGGCGCTGCAGGGGCCTGGCACTTTCCCCCATCCCCGTCTCCAGCAGCTTCTTGTACTTGGCCACGTTCCTGGACACCCTTTGGTTTCTGGGATCTGCTGGGGAGGTGGTGTCACCCAGAGGGCTGCGCCCCCATCAACCCCCTTCCCTGGCATGGGTCCCTGGAGAATTACCCCAGATGGGGACAAGAAGTGGGGTGAGGGAGGCTGCTGTCATGCAGAGGTGATGGGGACATCCCAAAATCTTTTCCCTCTTCCTGCTGCATCCAGGGCTGTCCCACATACCGTAGCGGAGAAACTCCCTGGAGAGGCTCAAGGCGTGAGAGATGTTTCCAGCCTGGGCGGGGGAGTGGAGACCCCATCAGCATCCATCCTCCCACCCACGGTTTGGCTCTGCTGGGCACTGGGCATGGGGAGGGGACTCATGGCTGTACCATGAAGTAGGAGAAGGCCAGATGGTCCAGAGCATCCTCCAGGCTGCTCCGGTCCTCCAGGTT